GGAAAACAATTCTGAAACAAACTCATACAAACGTCATCAGGATCACAGAAACGATCAAGAACACCTGTTCTCCTGATCCAAATTTCTTCCAATTGTCTTTCTCTCTTGCAACAGATTTCAATGTAATGGGTTTATTGGCTCACAGACGCTCGGAAAAAATATAATTAATTAAAGGACAGATTTCATAGATTATGATAATTACCGGTCTGTTCTCCTGATACAAACTTCTCTGTCAAAAATAGCCATGTAGAAATTGAATTATGTTCCCCGATAACAAACTTCTGTAAAAACATCAAGATCACGGAAATACAAGAAGACCATAAGTTAATTGATAGATATACCTCTAAGGTATTGTCCTCCTGATACAAAGTTTGTTGTATCAGTATTAGCGAGAAGAAAGAAAGTAAAGTATTGTTCCCCCGATACAAAATTTCTATAAGAATGTTCGATATAAATTATTCGTTGAAAAATCGTTGTATCAGGATCACAGAAGAAGAAGTGTATGACTACATTTCAAATGCTGTGTTCCTCGCGCACAAACGCCTATTTAATAAATAGTTACACAGTATCACGATAATGTAAGAAATCGTTTAATTTATTGTCGAACGCATTTTACGTATTATGTTCCCCGGATACAAATTTTGATGACTAAAACACAAACCTATAGAAACGCGAAAAAATTACCTGTCACCTGTCCTGGCACAAATTTATTGGTTAGTAATGGCTTTATTAGGGTCACAGAGACGCAAAAAGCCATAAACTGTTTGATCGATACCTTTCATATGCTCTCCTGATACAAACCTCTTTTTGAAAAGGGTCACAGAAATGCAGTGATATGTAAAATTTATTGCCAGACGCCTTTCCACGTATCATGTTCACCGGGCCCAAATTGCTTAGAAAATGGTTGTATTAGGATCACGGAATGTTTATTTAAGAATTTGTTGTATCAAGAGTAGAGAGAGGCAAGGAAGTGAAGCAGGTATTGCTCTCCTGATCCAAATTTCTGTTTCAAAAACAGCCGAACTAGGTTCACGGAAATGGTAGAACGCGTTAAATTCATTGATAAACCTCTTCTCATCATGTTCTCCTGATTAAAATTCCTCCTTTAAACATAGATGAAGCGTAAGAAAATTTAATATCTTCTCAGAAGCACCTTTTCATCACGTACCTCCTGATACAAATTTTCAGAGAATTGCAATACTGTTTTTTGACTAGAACAAATTTTTCTTCTAAAAATGATTACATCAGGATAACAGAAACCTGGCCTGTTATGTCCTGATCCAAAATTCTCTTTTGAAAACAGTCTACTCAAGATCATAAAAACGCAAAACTGAGTAGGTACATTCATTGACAGACAATTTTTTATTTGTATGTTCTCCTAGTCAAAATATCCCTTTTACGTATCTCCTGATAGAATAGTTACATCCGGATCACAGAAATGCAAAGGAGTCAATTTTATCATGCACCTTCTCGTCTACTATGTATCTTCCGCTACAAATTTTTTTACGGATAAGTAGTTACATCAGGAGCACAGAAACGCAGAATTTATTCTCTTCCACTCATCCATACACCCTTTATAAAAAAGGGCAGGTCCCATTTAAAAAAAAAATCAGAAATACAAAAGAGCAGGGGTCAAAGATTCCAACATCCCAATGATCCCATTTCGAAAAAACCAAAAGAGCAGGAGGCATTGAACCCATTTGAAAAACCAAAAGAGTAGGTGACAATACCACCCATCCCAATAATCCTATTTTTTTAAAAATTCAAAAGATGAGACAATGATCTCATTACAAAAACAAAAAGAGCAGGGAACAAACATTCCACCCATCCCAATGATCCCATTAAAAAAACATTAAAAAACCGGCCGGGGCAAAGACTCCACCCATTTTCAAAAAAAAAACAAAAGGGATGATTGGGATGTTTGCCCATCCCAATAATCCCATTTCAAAAAAACCCAAACTTCATTTTTAAAAAAACAGAGCAGGAGACAAAGATCCCACCCATACCAAAGATACAATTTAAAAAACAAAATGGCGGGGCACAATGATCTCATTTAAAAATCCAAAAGAGCAGGGCACAAACACCCCATTCATACCAATGATCCCATACAAAAAAATTCAAAAGAGGAGACAATGATCCCATCAGAAAACAAAAAAGAGCAGGGAACACAGATTCCAGCCATCCCAATGATCCCATTTTTTAAAAAAACCCAAAAGAGGGGTGAATGAGAGCAGGCCAGAGCAAAGATCCCACCCATCCCAATGATTTCATTTTTTAAAAACCAAAGAAGCAGGGGACAACGATCCCACTCACCCCAATGGTACCATTTCAAAAAAACAAGAGGATACAGTGCTCCCATTAAAAATCCAAAAGAGCAGTGGAAAAAGACACCATGTGGGGGGAGGGGATCACTTTTTACCCCAATGCAATACCTCCCTTACTGACGTGCGGGTGACAAAAACCATAAGGAGGAGGCAATGATCACAATAAAAAAATCAAAAGTCGGGGACAAAGCTTCTACTTATCCCCATCATACCAGTTTTGAAAAAACCAAAAGAGGAGACAGTGATCCCATTAAAACCAAACCTAAAGAGCAGGGGACAATTGTTCTATTAAAAAACCAAAAAGCAGGGGGCAAGGATCACACCCATCCCAATGATTGCATTAAAAAAAACAAACGAGGAGACAATGATCCCATGAAAAACAACAAAAAGGGCAGGGAACGAATTTTCCACCCATCTCAATGATCCCATTTTCAAAAACCCAAAGAGCAGGGGACAACGATCACACCAATCCCAATCATTGCATTAAACAAGGAGAGGACAGTGATCCCATTAAAAAAATCAAAGATCAGGCGAAAGAGATACCAATCAGTGATCCCATTAAAGAACCAGAAGAGCAGGGGACCAAGATTCCACCCATCCAAACGTGCCCATTCAAAAAACCAAATGAGCAGGGGACAAAGTTCTTTCCCATCCCAATAATCCCATATCAAAAAAAAAACAAAAAAGGAGACGGGTATGGCCTCATTAAAAAAAACCCACAAAGCAGGTGACAAAGGCCCCTCTCATCCGAATAATAACATTTAAAACACAGACAATGATCCCATTAAAAAACAAAGGGGTAGGGGACAAAGATTCACGGCCCATTACAATTATCCCATTTCAAAAAAAAAACAAAAGATCAGAGGACGACAATATGATCCCATCAAAAAACCAAAAGAGCAGGGGATAAAGATACCACCCAACCCAATGTTCCCATTTAAAAAAACAAAAGCGGAGACAGTGATATCCCAACCCAAAGATCAGGGTACAACACGATCCCATCCATTCCAATGATCCCATTTAAAAAAAAACCAAAAGAGGGGACAACATGATCCCATTAAAAACTAAAAGAGCAGGGGACAACGATCCAGCCCATCTCAATTTAAAATAAACAAAAGAGAGGGGTCAATTATCTCATTAAAAAAAAAACAAAAGAGCGAGGAAAAAAGATTCTACCCATCCAAATGATTGCATTTAAAATAACCAAGAGCAGGCGACTATGCTCCAATTAAAAAAAACAAAACAAAACAAAAACACCTAAATGAATCCACTCCAGAAAGAAAAAAACAAAAAAAGCAGGGGTTTATGGTCCCATTTTTAAAACCAAATCAGCAGGTGACAAAGATCCCATCAATCCTAATAATTCCGTTAAAAAAAAATAAGAGCAGGAGACATGATCTCATTAAAAAACCAAAAATCAGGAGACAAAGATCCCACTCATCAAAGGGCTGTAACTTTTGATCTAGTAGTCCAATCTTGGAACTGTTGGAAATTATGGATTCTACAGGGACAAATCTATAAGAAAAAGTTTTTTCCCGGTCGATCTCAGACAATTTTTTTTTCAGGCCTCTAAAAAAGGCAGTGTATAACCTTCCTTTTTTGCCAAAAATCGACTGCACCAAAATTTCTCGGGAAAACACTTTTTCTTATTAAATTTGGTGCGTAGAATCCAAAACGATTCATACTTTTTCAATTAGACCTCTCAATCAAAAGTTATGGACTGGAAACCAATTTCGACAAAAAAAGTCAAAGTGACTCATCCCAATGATCCCATTTCAAAAAAACCCAAACGAGGGGACAATGATCCCAAAAAAATAAACAGCAGAGGACAAAGATCCTTTTTAAAAACCAAAGATCAGAGGACAAAGATCCCACTCATCCCAATGATCCCATTTCAAAAAAACCATACGAGGGGACAACATTAAAGAAAATTAAAAGAGCAGGGGTCAAAGATCCCATCCATCTCAATGATCCCAATTTAAAAAAAACAAAAGAGGGATACTGATCCCATTAAAAACAAGAGCCCACGTACCCCACCCGCGATGATCCCATTTCAAAAAATAATGTTCAAATTTTAAAATAATTGCTGTTTTTCAATTTCAAGTTAACGTCAAAAATGTAAGCGGAATATCGTCGTTTTATTTTGGCTTGCTAAGGCAGCTTTATCTCGTTTTTGTTTGCCAAGTGTTTCTTCTACTCGAAAATGTTTCTTCGAGTAAATTTTCTCACTCGTAAATAAACGGGCTTCCTGCAAAATTGAGACGCTTCGATTTTACCATAAAATTAAGCTTGCAAGTAACTCACACTTTGCCAACAAACTGATTTCAATTACCGCTTCTTAACGACGCAATTCAAAAATAGCAGTAACGCTCTTTTTTCCCTCAAAATAAGGGAGGCAAAAGTTTATCTCAAAAACCGCTTGCGTTCTTATCAAAATGCACACGTAGCTATCGCTCTTAGTCGGAACATATTTTTATTCACGTTCGCTATGAAGCGGTATATGTATATGTGTAAATTTTTGAAACGGTATCTCCTGATAGAAATTTGTCTTTTAATAGTCAGATCAGGATCACAGAAACGCAAAGGTGTAAAATTCATTGACAAACTTATCACTCATCTCGTCACCCAAACTTCTTTTTTTTTTAAATAGTGTTTTACCCAGTAAAAAACAAGAAAGATACTTCATACTTTATTCTTTAAAAATACAATAACCCTACGATGAAGCGTGGAGCGCGTGCGCGGTTGCCGAATGCGAGACGAGCTGAGATTGTTCGCTAAACGCCAAAAAACAGACCGAACACACAAACGTCTCTTCTATCTTTCTCTCTTCGTGTATCTTCATGTGCTGCGTTAAATGGCTACTTTGTCGACACGCATACGGGCACTGTGCGCACTTGAAGGGTTTTTCGCCCGAATGGATTCGAAGGTGCGATTTTAACGACGAACGCTGCTTAAAGCCCTTGCCGCAGTGAGCGCACTGATACGGCCGCAGGTCGCTGTGGGTCTTGTTGTGCTCAACCAAATGGCTGCGCTGTATAAAGGAGCGCCCACACTCGCTGCACACGTACGGCTTTTCGCCTAGGACAAAACAGTTAGGGCGTAATCGCGACGCGAATTTTACCTGTATGCTTGCGCAGGTGCAGCTGAAGTTCGGCCGGTCGGCAGAATCGCTGATCGCAAATTTTGCACACGACCGGTCGACCGGTGTGCTGCCGCATGTGAGTATTCAGAACGCTCGACTGCGTGAAGCTCTTGCCGCAGACGTGGCACACGTGCGGTCGTTCGCCGGTGTGCGTGCGCTCGTGGACGACCACCTGGTAGCGAGTCGCGAAATTTCGCGCGCAAAAGCCGCACTTGTACGGCGTCTCGCCGGTGTGCATGCGCATGTGCACTTTCAGTTTATACGGGGATCTGCAAACGGTACAGGCGATATACTGATGTCGAGTCTCGCGCTAACACTCACTTGGACTGCTTGCCGCATACTGTACACAGCGTATGGTCGGGAGGACGAGCTGGGTGGTCGTTCTGCAAAGTCTCCTCCTGTTTGCATACACTGTAAATACATACATACATAAGCTCAGTATGAAGTATACAGGGTGTTTAGCAATGTGAATATTCAAAAAGTTACAATAAGACTGCACATTTGTAGTATCAAATTTTCATATATACAGAGTGATCACAGAACGTACGGAACCAGCTGTATAATAGAATAAACTAAGACTATCAATTCAATTCCTTCATATATCAACACGTCATATTTTTCATATACACGGGGCGTATTTAAAAGAAATTAAAAAAACAGTAGACAGGGTGTTTCAAACAAGTTTGGCGATGTTGTGTTTGATTTCATGTGCCATTTTTGCATATACAGGGTGTTTAAAAAGTGTTTTACGTTGCACATATTGAATATGAGGAGTCGTATTTTAAAAATGGTGGGATTGTTTGTAAATGTTTGAATGAAACTGTTTGGCAAGGTCGGAAAAAATTTAAAAAAAATTCAAAAATTCAAGAAAAGTTCTAAAAAAATTCTAGAAAAATCTTTAAACATTTTACAAAATAGTAGTATACACCCAACTTCTACCTAGCGTAAACCACACAAATTTTGTGTAGGTACACTGAAATTAAAAAAAATTACACTAAACTAAAAATTCTAGAAAATTCTGAATATCGTTTAAAAAATTATAAACAGATTTTTAAAAAATCAGGAATCCAAGAATAGTTCTAAAAAAATTGTAGAAAATTCTATAGGAATTCTAAAATACCTAAAAAATGTTAGAAAATCGTAAAAATGTTCTATACCGTTCTAAAAAGTTCCAGAAAATTCTAGAAAATTCTAATCAAAAAATTTCGAAAATTCTAAAACATTTAAACAATCTAGACAGTTCTAAAAAGTTTGAGTAAATTCTAAAAAAAACTTCCAAAAAATTCTAGAAAAATTGCCAGGACGTTCTAAAAGATTCTAGTATGCACCGAAATTCTACAATGATTTTCATGAGTGTAAACAACTTGAAATATTGTGTACACCAAATTTCTAAAAAATTCTAGAAAATTACAAAAATCGTATAAAAAATTGTGTACATGTGAGTTCCGAAAAAAATTCTAGAAAATTTTAAACAGATTAAAAAAATTCAGGAATTCAAGAATAGTTCTGAAAAAATTGCAGTAAATTCACAAAAAATTCTAAAAAATTCTAGAGAGTTCTAGAAAGATTTTAAAAAATCCTAGGAAATTCGACAAGATAGTAGTATACATTGAAATTCTACATGAATTCTAAAAATCGTTTAAAAAAGTGCTCAAAAAATTGCGTGCATGTGCGCACGGAAAGAATTCTAGGAAATTGTCAACAGATTCTAAAAGAATTCAAGAAAAGTTCTAAACAAATTCTAGAAAATTCTATAAGAATTCTAAAATAGCTAAAAAATCTTAGAAAATCGTAAAAATGTTCTAATAATTCTAAAGAAACTCAATAAAAAATCTAAAAATGAGTTCTGTAAAAAATTCAAGAAAATTCCAGATTCACAAAAAATTCAAGAATACAAGAAAAGTTCTCAAAAAAATTTAGAAAATTCTAAAATATCCAAAAAATTCTATACCCTTCTAAAAAGTTCCAGAAAATTCTAGAAAATTCTAATAAAAAAATTTCGAAAATTCTAAAACATTTAAAAAAATCTAGACAGTTCTAAAAAGTTTCAGAAAATTCTAAACAAAACTTCCAGAAAATTCTAGAAAAATTGCCAAGACGTTCTAAAAGATTCTAGTATGCACCGAAATTCTACAATGATTTTCATTAGTGTAAACAACTTGAAATATTGTGTACACCAAAATTCTAAAAAATTCTGGAAAATTCCAAAAATCGTATAAAAAATTGTGTGCATATGAGTTCGGAAAAAAATTCTAGAAAATTTTAAACAGATTAAAAAAATTCAGGAATTCAAGAATAGTTCTGAAAAAATTGTAGTAAATTCTCAAAAAATTCTCAAAAATTCTACAAAGTTCTAGAAAGATTTTAAAAAATCCTAGGAAATTCGACAAGATAGTAGTATACACTGAAATTCTACAAGAATTCTAAAAATCGTTTAAAAAAGTGCTCAAAAAATTGCGTGCATGAGCGCACGGAAAGAATTCTAGGATATTGTCAACAGATTCTAAAAGAATTCAAGAAAAGTTCTGAACAAATTCTAGAAAATTCTATAAGAATTCTAAAATAGCTAAAAAATCTTAGAAAATCGTAAAAATGTTCTAATAATTCTAAAGAAACTCAATAAAAAAATCTAAAAATGAGTTCGGTAAAAAATTCAAGAAAATTCCAGATTCACAAAAAATTCAAGAATTCAAGAAGTTCTAAAAAAAATTTAGAAAATCCTAAAATATCTAAAAAATTTTAGACCGTTCTAAACAGTTCCAGAAAATTCTAATAAAAAAATTTAGAAAATTCTAAAATAACTAAAAAATTCCAGAAAATTCTAAAAAAAACTTCCAGAAAATTCTAGTGTGCACCAAAATTCTACAATGATTTTCATCAGTGTAAACAACTTGAAATATTGTGTACACCACAATTCTAAAAAATTCTAGAAAATTTCAAAAATCGTATAAAAAATTGTGTGCATGTGAGTTCGGAAAAAAATTCTAGAAAATTCTACAAAAAAATTCTAGAAAATTCTACAAGATACTGGTATACAGCCAAATTCTACAGTAATTTTCCCTCAGGGTACACCACTTCAAAAAAATTCTACAAAACTCAAAAAATTCTCAAAAATTTTGAAAATTCCATAAAAAATTGTGTGCATGTGCGTTCGGAGAAAATTCTAGGAAATTCTAAACAGATTCTAAAAGAATTCAAGAAAAGTAGACAACTCTAAAAAAATTCTAAAATACTTAAAATATTGCAGAAAATTCTAAAAATATTCTATAAAATTTAAAAAACTCAATAGCCCAAAAATCGTAGAAAAAATTGTGTGCATGCGCATTCGGTAAAAAATTCTAGAAGATTCCAAACATTCTAAAAAAATTCGAGAATTCCAGTAAAGTTCTAAAGAAATTCTAGGAAATTCTAAAAAAATTCTAGAAAATTTTCAAAATCGTCTAAAAAATTGTGTGCATGTGCGTTCGTAAAAAAAATTCTAACCAGATTCTAAACAAATTAAAGAATTCAAGTAACGTTCTAAAGAAATTCTATGAAGTTCTAAAAAAATTCTAGAAAATTCCTAAAATCGTAGGTATAAAAAATTGTGTGCATGTGCGTTCAGAAAAAAAATTCTAGAAAATTCTAAACAATTCTAAAAAAATTCAAAGTTCTAAAAAAATCTACAAAGCTAAACAAATTCTAGAAAATTCTCAAAATGTGTGCATGGGTGTTCGGAAAAAAATTTAGAAAATTCTAAACAGATTCAAGAATTCAAGTTCGAAAAAAATCTAGAAGGTTCTAGAAAGTTTTAAAAATTCTAGGAAATTCTACAAGATACTAGTATACACCCAAATTCTACAGGGATTTTCCCTCGGTATATAAATCACTTCAAATTTTGTCAAATTAAAAAAAAATTCTACAAAACTACAAAATTCTAGAAAAATCTGAGAATTCTATAAAAAATAGTGTGCATATGCGTTCGGAAAAAATTCTGAACCATCTAAAAAATTCTAGCCTATTCTAGAAAAATTAAAACAAATTCTAGGAAATTCCACAAGATACTAGTATACACCCAATTCTACAGGGATTTTCGGTTGGGGGAAAGAAAATTGTGTGTACACTAAAATTCTAAAAAACTAAAAAAATCCACAAAATTTGCCACATTGTATTTTTGAAATAAACAAAAAAAGTGTGCATGTTCGGTCCGAAAAAAATTGTAGAAAATTCTAAACGAATTCTAAAAAATTCTAGAAAATGTAAAAAAAGTGTGCATGTGAGCTCGGAAGAAATTCTAAATAATTATAGAAATTCGAAAAAGTTCCCAATCGTATAAAATTATAATTGTGTGCGCATGTTCGTTAGGAAAATAATTCTTTAAAACATTTTAAAAATTCTATATAAATTCTAAAAAATTCAAAATTCAAGAAAAGTTAAACAAAAATTCTAAAAATCGCATGTGCGTTCGGAAAAAAATACCACAAATTCTAAAAAAATTGCGGAAAAATTCTAAAAAAATTCTCGAAGTCTATACGAATTCTACAAAATTTTAATTGTGTGCATGCGGGTTCGGAAAAATTCCAAAATAAATTTGAAAATCTACAAACATCACCTTTGACAAAAATTAAAATGTTAAAAACGGCTAAATTTCACCTAGAATCTAAAGATGAAATAATGTTCTATTTCACATAACTGATATATCCAGACGCGCCACCATCTTGAAAATATTTTGATATCCTCTTATCAACTGTCAAATTTTCAAAATATTGCAAGATCTCCTTTTGAGATATAACCTACCTAGATAGCCGACATTCGGCATGAAACACCTTGTATATAATACCTAGAGAGTAGCTACATTTTAGAAAAATGCATAGGACATATTTTTTTAATGGTTTACAAAATGTGCCGCCATTTTGGAAATAAGTTAAAAGTTAATATATACAGGGCGAGCAAAAAAAACAAACCGCGCAGTATATAATACAAGGTGTTATACAAATCTTTTTCATCCTCCTTCAACATATACGTTTGCATTAGCATACAGGGTGTTCGGTACAAATCTGTCATATGTTGATATAATGTGTACAGGGTGGTCACATAAGTAAAAATATAACCGTAATAAAACCAAGGAATATCCTTTTGTTTCAGAATGTAAATTGTATTATACAGGGTGCTACAAAAAGTAAACCACTGCAATTCATGCAAATGAAGAGCTTACATATACAGGATGGTCACGCAAAAACCATACGTACGGGTCTAACTCATGCTGCTTCTGATGTTCCCGTAACCCAAACTTCTTGGGCTTTTCTTGCGTATGCGTCCTCAGATGTATCTTTAAATGCCGATGAGATACAAACGATTTATCACAAGAAGTACACGGAATTGGCCGGGTGTCTGCAACTTTCCAGTTATTTTCGATGCGAAACCGTAACACACAGACCGGCATGACAGTGCAAATGCTCGACGAGACGCCCGATACTTTGAAACGGCTTACTGCAAAACCGACAGGACGGGGAGGAATGCGTGCGTACGTGTTCCTCTAAATCGTCACACTCCTCGTTGCATTTGGAACACCATCGATCCTTCAAGTCCCTAAAACCGACCGATCAGGCGAGTCGTTGCGGTCGGAGCAATACTTATGGACGTGCGTCACGTGCACTGACAAGGCTCGTGAGTTGCTGCTGGTAAATCCGCACCGGACGCAGGTGGTGCTAGTGTAAAAGTCCCTCCTCGCATTCTCGATCGCATCGCTCACCTCGTCGCAATCGAATCGAGATAGACGTGGCCTGGTCAGCCAAACTTCTTCAATTTTTGCGGCGGGCGCCTCGACGGCTTCTTCCTCTGTCGATTTCTCGTAGAAGTCGGTGAGGGACCTGTGCGAGTCGAGGCACTGCTTGCGAAAGTTGTACGAGTTGATCAGCCTCTCCTCGCACGACTGGCAGAAGCTGAAAGGGAGGCCGTCTTCGTTGATCTGCGAGGAAACCAGGATTAGTAGCGATTGTGAGTAGAGAAAACTAACCTCAATTTCGATGCCGCTAAGTGAAACGAACATTTCGCAGAGACGTTCCCTGGGGCTCGAGACGCGTTTTAGGTCATTTTCGTCGCGGAGGCAACCGCGGCAAAAGTTTTTTAAATTGATTTTGATATTTAAATGACTTCCAAAGGGATTCCCTTCCATTTCTGTAATGTCTAAATTACCGTTGCAGTAGACCAATGTGACAGCACAAGAGTCACAGCCAGGCCACTCATTTCTAAAGCGGCAACACTGTAAACACACTCGAAACGCTCATTCCGCTCATAACTGGACCCTTTGGATTCTCCCGGAATCTCTTAGAGACCCTATTAAAGAAACCCTTAAACGACTTTTCGTCTTTCAATACCGATGTTTTGCTTCGACATAGGTGTATCAGGATCACAGAAGGTCAAGAAACTGCAAGATTTCTTGTTAGACCATTATGTTCTCCTGATGCAATCAGTTTTAAATCGTATCGGGATCACAGAATGGGTTGAAGATATAGGAGTTACTGACGGTCAGTGATTTCCAAAAAGCCTTAAACGATTTTCCGTCTTTCAATACCAATTTTTTGCTTCGACATAGGTGCATCAGGATCACAGAAGGTCAAGAAACTGCAAGATTTCTTGTCATACCATTATGTTCTCTTGATGCAATCAGTTTTAAATCGTATCGGGATCACAGGTTGGGTTGAAGATGTAGGAGCTACTGACGGTCAGTGATTTTCAAAAACCGTTAAACGACTTTCCGTCTTTCAATAAAAATTTTTTACTTCGACATATGTGTATCAGGATCACAGAAGGTCAAGAAACTGCAAGATTTCTTGTCGGACCATTAAGTTCTCCTGATGCAATCAGTTTTAAATCGTATCGGGATCACAGAATGGGTTGAAGATATAGAAGTTACTGACGGTCAGTGATTTTCAAAAACCGTTAAACGACTTTCCGTCTTTCAATACCAATTTTTTGCTTCGACATAGGTGTATCAGGATCACAGAAGAAACTGCAAGATTTCTTTTCAAACCACCATGTTCTCCTGATGCAGTCAGTTCTAAATCGTATCGGGATCACAGAATGGGTTGACGATTTAGGAGTTACTGACGGTCAGTGATTTTCAAAAACCGTTAAACGACTTTCCGTCTTTCAATACCCATTTTTTGCTTCGACATAGGTGTATCAGGATCGCAGAAGCTCAATAAACTGCAAGATTTCTTGTCGGACCATTATGTTCTCCTGGTGCAATCAGTTTTAAATCGTATCGGGATCACAGAATGGGTTGAAGATATAGGAGTTACTGACGGTCAGAGATTTTCAAAAACCGTTAAACGACTTTCCGTCTTTCCATACCAATTTTTTGCTTCGACATAGGTGTATCAGGATCACAGAAGGTTAAGATACTGCAAGATTTCTTGTCAGACCATTATGTTCTCCTGATGCAATCATTTTTAAATCGTATCGGGATCACAGAAAGGGTAGAAGTTGGAGGAGTTACTGACGTTCAGAAATTCTCAAAAACCGTTAAACGACTATCCGTCTTTCAATACCAATGTTTTGCTTCGACATAGGTGTATTAGGATCACAGAAGGTCAAGAAACTGCAAGATTTCTTGTCAGACCATTATGTTCTCCTGATGCAACCAGTTTTAAATCGTATCGGGATTACAGAATGGGTTGAAGATATAGAAGTTACTGACGGTTAGTGATTTTCAAAAACCGTTAAACGACTTTCCGTCTTTCAATACCTACTTTTTGCTTCGACATAGGTGTATCAGGATCACAGAAGGTCAAGAAAGTGAAAGATTTCTTGTCAGATCATTATGTTCTCCTGATGCAATCATTTTTAAATCGTATCGGGATCACAGAATGGGTTGAAGATATAGGAGTTACTGACGGTCAGTGATTTTCAAAAACCGTTAAACGACTTTCCGTGTTTCAATAACAATTTTTTGCTTCGACATAGGTGTATCAGGATCACAGAAAGTCAAGAAACTGCAAGATTTCTTGTCAGACCATTATGTTCTCCTGATGCAATCAGCTTTAAATCGTATCGGGATCACAGAATGGGTTGAAGATATAGGAGTTACTGACGGTCAGTGATTTTCAAAAACCGTTAAGCGACTCTCCGTCTTTCAATACCAATTTTCTGCTTCGACATAGGTGTATCAGGATCACAGAAGGTCAAGAAACTGCAAGATTTCTCGTCAGACCATTATGTTCACCTGATGCAATCATTTTTAAATCGTATCGGGATCACAGAATGGGTTGAAGATGTAGGAGTTGCTGACGGTCGGTGATTTTCAAAAACCGTTAAACGACTTTCCGTCTCAATACCAATTTTTTGCTTCGACATAGGTGTATCAGGATCACAGAAGGTCAAGAAACTGCAAGATTTCTTGTCAAACCATTATGTTCTCCTGATGCAATCAGTTTTAAATCGTATCTGGATCACAGAATGGGTTGAAGATGTAGGAGTTACTGACGGCCAGTGATTTTCAAAAACCGTTAAACGACTTTCCGTCTTTAAATACCAATTTTTTGCTTCGACATGTGTATCAGGATCACAGAAGGTCAAGAAACTGCCAGATTTCTTGTCAGACCATTATGTTCTCCTGATTCCATCAGTTTTAAATCGTATCGGGATCACAGAATGGGTTGAAGATATAGGAGTTACTGACGGTCAGTGATTTTCAAAAACCGTTAAACGACTTTCCGTGTTTCAATACCAATTTTTTGCTTCGACATAGGTGTATCAGGATCACAGAAGGTCAAGAAACTGCAAGATTTCTTGTCGGACCATTATGTTCTCCTGATGCAATCAGTTTTAAATCGTATCGGGATCACAGAATGGGTTGAAGATATAGGAGTTACTGACGGTCAGTGATTTTCAAAAACCGTTAAACGACTTTCCGTCTTTCAATACCAATTTTTTGCTTCGACATAGGTGTATCAGGATCACAGAAGAAACTGCAAGATTTCTTTTCAAACCACCATGTTCTCCTGATGCAGTCAGTTCTAAATCGTATCGGGATCACAGAATGGGTTGACGATTTAGGAGTTACTGACGGTCAGTGATTTTCAAAAACCGTTAAACGACTTTCCGTCTTTCAATACCCATTTTTTGCTTCGACATAGGTGTATCAGGATCGCAGAAGCTCAATAAACTGCAAGATTTCTTGTCGGACCATTATGTTCTCCTGGTGCAATCAGTTTTAAATCGTATCGGGATCACAGAATGGGTTGAAGATATAGGAGTTACTGACGGTCAGAGATTTTCAAAAACCGTTAAACGACTTTCCGTCTTTCCATACCAATTTTTTGCTTCGACATAGGTGTATCAGGATCACAGAAGGTTAAGATACTGCAAGATTTCTTGTCAGACCATTATGTTCTCCTGATGCAATCATTTTTAAATCGTATCGGGATCACAGAAAGGGTAGAAGTTGGAGGAGTTACTGACGTTCAGAAATTCTCAAAAACCGTTAAACGACTATCCGTCTTTCAATACCAATGTTTTGCTTCGACATAGGTGTATCAGGATCACAGAAGAAACTGCAAGATTTCTTTTCAAACCACCATGTTCTCCTGATGCAGTCAGTTCTAAATCGTATCGGGATCACAGAATGGGTTGACGATTTAGGAGTTACTGACGGTCAGTGATTTTCAAAAACCGTTAAACGACTTTCCGTCTTTCAATACCAATTTTTTGCTTCGACATAGGTGTATCAGGATCACAGAAGGTTAAGATACTGCAAGATTTCTTGTCAGACCATTATGTTCTCCTGATGCAATCATTTTTAAATCGTATCGGGATCACAGAATGGGTTGAAGATTAGGAGTTACTGACGGTCAGTGATTTCAAAAACCGTTAAACGACTTTCCGTCTTTCAATACCAATTTTTTGCTTCGACATAGGTGCATCAGGATCACAGAAGGTCAAGAAACTGCAAGATTTCTTGTCATACCATTATGTTCTCTTGATGCAATCAGTTTTAAATCGTATCGGGATCACAGGTTGGGTTGAAGATGTAGGAGCTACTGACGGTCAGTGATTTTCAAAAACCGTTAAACGACTTTCCGTCTTTCAATACCAATTTTTTGCTTCGACATATGTGTATCAGGATCACAGAAGGTCAAGAAACTGCAAGATTTCTTGTCGGACCATTATGTTCTCCTGATGCAATCAGTTTTAAATCGTATCGGGATCACAGAATGGGTTGAAGATATAGGAGTTACTGACGGTCAGCGATTTTCAAAAACCGTTAAACGACTTTCCGTCTTTCAATACCAATTTTTTGCTTCGACATAGGTGTATCAGGATCACAGAAGAAACTGCAAGATTTCTTTTCAAACCACCATGTTCTCCTGATGCAGTCAGTTCTAAATCGTATCGGGATCACAGAATGGGTTGACGATTTAGGAGTTACTGACGGTCAGTGATTTTCAAAAACCGTTAAACGACTTTCCGTCTTTCAATACCCATTTTTTGCTTCGACATAGGTGTATCAGGATCGCAGAAGCTCAATAAACTGCAAGATTTCTTGTCGGACCATTATGTTCTCCTGGTGCAATCAGTTTTAAATCGTATCGGGATCACAGAATGGGTTGAAGATATAGGAGTTACTGACGGTCAGAGATTTTCAAAAACCGTTAAACGACTTTCCGTCTTTCCATACCAATTTTTTGCTTCGACATAGGTGTATCAGGATCACAGAAGGTTAAGATACTGCAAGATTTCTTGTCAGACCATTATGTTCTCCTGATGCAATCATTTTTAAATCGTATCGGGATCACAGAAAGGGTAGAAGTTGGAGGAGTTACTGACGTTCAGAAATTCTCAAAAACCGTTAAACGACTATCCGTCTTTCAATACCAATGTTTTGCTTCGACATAGGTGTATTAGGATCACAGAAGGTCAAGAAACTGCAAGATTTCTTGTCAGACCATTATGTTCTCCTGATGCAACCAGTTTTAAATCGTATCGGGATTACAGAATGGGTTGAAGATATAGAAGTTACTGACGGTTAGTGATTTTCAAAAACCGTTAAACGACTTTCCGTCTTTCAATACCTACTTTTTGCTTCGACATAGGTGTATCAGGATCACAGAAGGTCAAGAAAGTGAAAGATTTCTTGTCAGATCATTATGTTCTCCTGATGCAATCATTTTTAAATCGTATCGGGATCACAGAATGGGTTGAAGATATAGGAGTTACTGACGGTCAGTGATTTTCAAAAACCGTTAAACGACTTTCCGTGTTTCAATAACAATTTTTTGCTTCGACATAGGTGTATCAGGATCACAGAAAGTCAAGAAACTGCAAGATTTCTTGTCAGACCATTATGTTCTCCTGATGCAATCAGCTTTAAATCGTATCGGGATCACAGAATGGGTTGAAGATATAGGAGTTACTGACGGTCAGTGATTTTCAAAAACCGTTAAACGACTTTCCGTCTTTCAATACCAATTTTCTGCTTCGACATAGGTGTATCAGGATCACAGAAGGTCAAGAAACTGCAAGATTTCTTGTCAGACCATTATGTTCTCCTGATGCAATCATTTTTAAATCGTATCGGGATCACAGAATGGGTTGAAGATGTAGGAGTTACTGACGGTCAGTGATTTTCAAAAACCGTTAAACGACTTTCCGTCTTTCAATACCAATTTTTTGCTTCGACATAGGTGTATCAGGATCACAGAAGGTCAAGAAACTGCAAGATTTCTTGTCAGACCATTATGTTCTCCTGATGCAATCAGCTTTAAATCGTATCGGGATCACAGAATGGGTTGAAGATATAGGAGTTACTGACGGTCAGTGATTTTCAAAAACCGTTAAACGACTTTCCGTCTTTCAATACCAATTTTTTGCTTCGACATAGGTGTATCAGGATCACAGAAGGTCAAGAAACCGCAAGATTTCTTGTCAGACCATTATGTTCTCCTGATGCAATCAGTTTTAAATCGTATCGGGATCACAGAATGGGTTGAAGATATAGGAGTTACTGACGGTCAGTGATTTTCAAAAACCGTTAAGCGACTCTCCGTCTTTCAATGCCAATTTTTTGCTTCGACATAGGTGTATCAGGATCACAGAAGGTCAAGAAACCGCAAGATTTCTTGTCAGACCATTATGTTCTCCTGATGCAATCAGTTTTAAATCGTATCGGGATCACAGAATGGGTTGAAGATATAGGAGTTACTGACGGTCAGTGATTTCCAAAAAGCCTTAAACGATTTTCCGTCTTTCAATACCAATTTTTTGCTTCGACATAGGTGCATCAGGATCACAGAAGGTCAAGAAACTGCAAGATTTCTTGTCATACCATTATGTTCTCCTGATGCAATCAGTTTTAAATCGTATCGGGATCACAGATTGGGTTGAAGATGTAGGAGTTACTGACGGTCAGTGATTTTCAAAAACCGTTAAACGACTTTCCGTCTTTCAATACCAATTTTTTGCTTCGACATAGGTGTATCAGGATCACAGAAGGTCAAGAAACTGCAAGATATTTTGTCAGACCATTGTGTTCTCCTGATGCAATCAGTTTTAAGTCGTATCGGGATCACAGAAAGGGTAGAAGATGTAGGAGTTATTGACGGACATTTTATTTCCATCTAATACAATTTTTTGTATAGAAATAATCGTAGTAAGATCACAGAGGGAGATAGTAAGATATATTGTTAACCGCCTTCTTCTCTATCGTGTTCTCCTGGCACCGTGATGGTGCCAGGTTAATCAAGAAGTGATTTCTTGATTAAATCGAGGTTGCAGTACTAAAGTGTACGATTTGCTGAGAGACATTTAATCACGTGTATTATATTCAAAAATGATTGTATCAGGATCATAGAAAGACGATGACGGCGTAGAGTATACCGTCAGATGACCCGTTGGCAGCTCAAATTATTTAAATAAATAAATACCTTTTTTGGGCTATATGTTCACCTGATAAACCGTCTGGGGGATCATGTGAATTAAAAAATTACTCCTGATGCAAGCCGTTGTATTAGGATCGCACAAAAATAAGAACGTGTAGGATTTATTGTCAGTTCGTCTTCTTTATACAACTACTTTGATAACGTACAGATAGATATCACAGGAATGCAGGAAAATTAACAAAACGCATGGTATTAACAGACACTTTATCACACACTGATCTTTTTCCAATACATTTTTTGTCTGCAAATTGCTAGATCAGGATCATAGAAGGACCAAAAGGTGTATACTGTATAGTTTATTGTCAGGCATCTTTTTCATTAGGTTCTCCCGATGCAACATCTTTAATATATAGTATCGGGGTCACAGGACCGACGTTTTTTCACGTAGGTATTACATCCAATAGTAAATTTTCTCCAGAAATGGTTATATCAGGCGCACAGAAGAACCAAAGAGTGTAGGATTTTGTTTGAAACCGTGTTCATTAGTATATATTCAGCTGGTGTGTTTTCTATCACTGAAGAAACCGAGGGGAGGAAGGAATGAGTCCGAAATGCCAACTCCGATCTAGGCTTAATTGTTTCGTTATCGACGAGTCCTTGGCGATTACAGATGGTATCGCTGAAGCATCTGACGTCATACTGTCATTGTAAGAGGAAAAAATGGGGGTAACAATGAGTTTTTTTCTGGTGCAAATTGCATAATTCCATTTTAATGAGCTATTGTGGGAGGACATCCAATTACTTTGTACCTTGACTCCAAACAAAACAGTTAATCGCTACCTCTTTCACTGGCACCAAGTGCATACAGTTTGAACGTGGAAAGTTCCATTAGTCACTTCTGTTATCTAATCAGATCGCGGGAGGCTCTCATCCATTGCGAGATAAGGGGCGTATGAACTGGATAAATGCGCGTTGGAAACGTTAATTCTGCGCATTGAAGATGTTTCTGCTGCAGAGTCTCGTGGTACTCCTCGCCTTGGGCACCGTCGCGCCCGCCGAGTTAGACTGGTGGCAGAATGCGGTGTTCTACCAGATCTACCCGAGGTCCTTTAAGGTATCGTCCCCCCGGATCGCCCAGGTGAGATGGTAACGTGGTTTTGTTTGCAGGATAGCGACAACGACGGTACCGGTGACCTTCGGGGTGTAATACAGAAGCTGGACCATCTCGTCGAGACCGGCGTCACCGCGCTGTGGTTGTCGCCAATCTACCCCTCGCCTCAGGTCGACTTCGGGTACGACATCAGCGACTTTACGGGGGTGGATCCGCTGTTCGGCGACATGGGCGACTTCATGGAGCTGACCCGCAAGGCGAAAGCGAAGGGTACGTAGTGCTACAGGTGATCACGGTCTGACGCCGTCATTTAACAGGCCTGCGAATAATACTCGACTTTGTACCGAATCACTCCAGCGACCAGCACGAGTGGTTCAAAAAGTCGGAGAACTCCGAGCCGGGCTTTGAGGACTTCTACGTGTGGAAAGACGGAGAGCCCGGCACTCCCCCGAACTCTTGGGTAAGTCGCCACGTGATCAGCACCTAGCTACTAACACCAAACCATTAGACCAGCTACTTCCACGGGCCCGCCTGGACTTGGAGCACGAAGAGGAACCAGTGGTACTTTCACCAGTTCGCGTCGGCGCAGCCCGATCTCAACTACCGAAACCCTAAGGTGGTGCAGGAGATGAAGAAGGTGCTCACCTACTGGCTCGACCTAGGCGTTGACGGCTTTAGGGTGGACATCATTACCGCACTCTTCGAAGATGTGAACTACCCCAACGGTCCTCTGGATCAGTACGCGTACACGAGCGATCAGCCGGAGACCTACGACATGGTTTACCAGTGGAGGATCTTGCTGGACGAGTACCAGAAACGTAACGGGGGCGACACCCGGGTCATGATGACCGAATCGTACGCCGACGCGGACAAGCTCTTCGGTTACTATGGTAACTCTACTCATAATGGCGCGCATTTCTCGTTCAACTTCTGGTTCATAACTCAGCTCAATAGAGACTCAACCGCCAAGGATATCAAGGGGGTGATCGATAAGTGGTTCCGCAACATGCCCGAACACTACACAGCCAACTGGGTGGTAAGACTCGTTCAACCCCCTTAAACCGAATTAATTTGGTGTTCAGTTAGGAAACCACGACCAGCACAGGGTTGCAACGCGTTACGGTCCGGGGCGCGTCGACGGGCTAAATATGATCGCGATGCTTTTGCCAGGGGTGGTCGTCACCTACAACGGGGAGGAGATCGGAATGGAAAACGGAGAGGTATCATGGGAGGAGGGGTGGGACCCGCAGGGATGTAACGGCAACAAAGAGGACTGGTACAAGAACAGCAGAGATTTCGAACGCACCCCTTACCAGTGGGACGGAAGCGCCAACGCCGGCTTTAACGAGGGGCACAAGACATGGTTGCCGGTCAGCGAGCAATACAAAACACTTAACCTCGCCCTTCAGCGCACCAGCACTCTCAAGAGCCACTACCGGGTGTACCAGGAGTTGGTGAAGTTGAGACAGACCGAGACGCTGAAGCTTGGCAAATTGCGAACAATCGTCTTGCAGAACAACGTCTTGGTTATCATCAGGTAAGGCCTTTGAGGTGCCCACCCAGGCTAACTGAGCGAGTTACAGAGAGCTAGAAAATGAACCAGCGTACGTGGCAGTTGTAAACGTCGGGGGCAGCTTTGCAAGTGTCGATTTGAGCCACATCGCTTCAAAGTTCGTGGTCCAAGTTCCAAGTGTGCAATCAGAAAAGATACCAAAGTACGCTATAATTAGTTTGCCACTCCAGATTCGTTAAATGTATGTTTTTAGGAGCACCATTGACGGTAGCGCCATCTACCTAGTCGGGTTTGAGTCCGTAGTGTTAGCCACCGTCAAGGAATGAAGCAAGGGATAGGCATTTTAATGTAACTTAATGCAGAAATAAAGATTCCTCCTCATTTTGTGTTTTCGCTCCGCATTTTCTAGTATTTCTCCACTCCTGTTCCATTTTTAAAGAAAACCAGGAGAAAATAAGACGTCCGAAACTTATCTGTGATCCTGGTAACAATTCACGTATCAACAGAACATAAAATGTGAGGAGAGATTAAAAAGAATCCTTTTTGATCGTTGGAAACTGCAAACTGGAGATTGAAAAATAGAACCTGGACGGCAGAACAAGGACATTGAAGACCGGATTGGAAAACTGTAAATTTGTGACCGGAAATTCGATACCATAAGCTAAAAACGAGAAATGGAGGTCGTGATATTGGAAACCGGGTGTGGAAACTGAAAATTAGAGATTGGAAAATAGAAAGCTGAAACCGAAGACCGAAAAGCATGTAAACCAAAAACTGAGAGACTAAGAACTAGAGATCAGCAACTGTGCAGACGAGAAGCCAGAGACCGTAGACCGTAAAATGGAAACAGGAAACTGAAGACAGGAAATTGAGATCTAGAGGCTGGAGCCGGAAACCAGACAAGAAGAACCATGCAAAGATTGAAAGGTGCAACCTAGATGGATGATATGTAGCTGAAGGGCGGAAATAGATGACACAAAATTGGCGACGTCAAGAAGCTGGAAACTCGAGACTAAAAAATGAAACTGGAGATTATAAATTGAAGTAGAAAACTGGGAAAAGGTATGCTAGGGACTTGAGAATGGACATTTAATCCCGACAGGAACATGGAAACTCAATGCTGGAAATTACGAATTTCAAACGAACTTGACAATTCAAAAGACTATAAACTAGTAACCGGAAACAGGAATCTGGAAACGGGAAGCCGCAATTCGAAAACAGGGAATTTGAGATGGGAAAGTGGAATCTGGAAACTGGAGAGTGGACACAATAGGGACCTAGACTGTATACTGAAGCCTAGCACCTGAAGACCAGAAGCTAGGAATTGGATACTGGAAAATTGGATGAGAAAAACGAGAAACTGAGACACAGACAGTAAAACTGGTAGGATTGAAAAAATAAAGATATTGAATACGAGGAACTACCTGAAGAATCTGAGGAATCTAAAGGATCTGAAGGAAACGAAAGTTCTGGCGGTCCTGAAGGATCTTACGGATCTGATGGATCTGTCTGAAGATTCTTAAGGATCTGAAGAATCTGAGAAATCTGACAGAATTTGAAGAATCTGAAGAATATGAATAATCTGAAGAATCCTGAAGACCAGAAGCTCTGAGGAGTCTGAAGACTCTAAGAGACCTGAAGAGTCTGAGGAATCTGAAGAATCTGAGGAATCCTGAAGGGTCTGAAGCGTCTGGAGAGTCTGAATAGTCTGACGAGTCTGAATAGTCTGAGGAATCTGGGGAATCTGAGGAGTCTGAGGAATCTGAAGAATCTGCAGAATTTGAAGAATCATCTGTCTGAAGAGTCTGAAGGATCTGAAAGATCTGAAGGATCTGAAGAATCTGAGAGACCTGAACAGTCTGAGGAATCTGATGAATCCTGAGGAGCCTGAAGGGCCCGAAGCGTCTGAATAGTCTGACGAATCTGGGGAATCTGAAGACTGAAGAATCTGAAGAAACTGGAGAATCTGAAGGATTTAAAGAGTCTGAAGGATCTAAAGAGTCTGAAGGATCTAAAGAGTCTGAAGGATCTGAAGAATCTGAGAGACCTGAAGAGTCTGAAGACTCTGAAGAGTCTGAGGATACTGAAGTATCTAAAGAGTCTGAAGGATCTAAATAGTCTGAAGGATCTAAAAAGCCTGAAGAATATAAAGAGTTTGAAGGATCTAAAGAGTCTGAAGGATCTGAAGAATCTGAGAGACCTGAAGGGTCTGAGGAATCTGAAGTATCTAAAGGGTCTGAAGAATCTAAAGAGTCTGAAGGATCTAAAGAGTTTGGAGGATCTGACGGATCTGAGGAATCTGAAAGACCTGAAGATTCTGAGGAGTCTGAAGGGTCTGAAGAGTCTGACGAGTCTGAGGAATCTGAAGAGTCTGAAAGATCTAAAGAGTCTGAAGGATCTGAAGAATCTGAGAGACCTGAAGAGTCTGACGAATCTGAAGAATCCTGAGGAGTCTGAAGGGTCTGAGCGTCTGAAGAGTGAATAGTCTGAATAGTCTGAGGAATCTGACTGAAGAATCCGAAGAATTTGAAGAAACTGAAGAATCATCTGAAAAATCTGAAGAGTTTAAAGGATTTAAAGAGTCTGAAGGATCTAAAGAGTTTGAAGGGTCTAAAGAGTCTGAAAGATCTAAAGAGTCTGAAGGATCTGAAAGACCAGAAGGATCTGAAAGATCTCAAGGGTCTGAAGAATCTGAGAGACCTGAAGGATCTGAAAGATCTCAAGGGTCTGAAGAATCTGAGAGATCTGAAGGGTCTGAAGAATCTGAAGAGTCTGAGGAATCTGAAGTATCTAAAGAGTCTGAGGAATTTGAAGAATTTGAAGTATATAAAGAGTCTGAAGGATCTAAATAGTCTGAAGGATCTAAAAAGTCTGAAGGATCTAAAGAGTCTGAAGGATCTAAAGAGTTTGGAGGATCTGAATAACCTGAGGAGTCTGAAGGATCTGAAGAGTCTGAAAGACCTGAAGATTCTGGGGAATCTGAAGAATCTGAATAACGTGAAGTCTGACGAGTCTGAATAGTCTGAAGGATCTAAAGAGTCTGAAAGATCTAACAAGTCTGAAGGATCTAAATAGCATGAAGGATCTGAAAGATCTGAAAAACCTGAAGAGTCTGAAGAGTGAGGAATCTAAAGAATCCTGAGGAGTCTGAATAGTCTCAAGAGTATGAAGAGTCTGAATAGTCCCAAGAGCCTGAAGAGTCTCAAGAGTCCGAATAGTCTCAACGAGTTTCAAGAGCCTGAAGAGCGTAATAGTCTCAAGAGTTCGAAGAGTCTCAAAAGTGTCTAGAGTCTGAATAGTCTCAAGGGCCTGAAGATTCTGAAAAGTCTGAAGAATCTCAAGAGTCTGATCAATCTGAATCACAGAAACACGAAGTCTGAAAGATCTAAAGAGTCTGAAGGATCTGAACGATCTGAAGGATCTATCTAGAGACGGGAAACAAGAAGTTGTAAACTATGGTTGGAAAGTGCTAATCACAAACAAGCCTGAAAGCGAAAATCATGGGGGCTACAAAGTACAGACAAGGAATCTGGACATAGGGAGACGTTAATCGGAAACCGGACACTGAAAACTAGAAAAAGAAAAATTGTAAACTTAAAATGAACTTAAAATGAAAACCGGATACACAAAGGAAAAACCGGCAACCGCAGACGAGATGAAATTGAAATTTGAGATTTTGATAATAGAAAATATAGAATAAAACCTAGAATTGAAAAAAGGGAGACCCTTATATACCTTGTATACCTTAGAAACTGAAGACTAAAAGTCGGAGTATAAGGAGACTGGAAACCGGAAACTCGAAGTTGGAAGCTAGCGAATAGAAACGGGAAATTAGGCACGAGAAGTCGTAGACATGAAACTGGAGATTGGAGACGGAAAATTAGGACGGTTAGAGAACTTGAAATTCGTAAGTGGAAATCTAGGGAACTGAAGACTGACACCAGAGCCCACAACTTGAAGACTGGACTCTGGAAATTGAAAACTGAAGATTGGAGGCCGGAGATCGCAAGCAGAAGGGTAGATACTAGAATATTGAGATTGGTAACTACAAAACGGGTTGAACTCAGATACAAACGAGTCGTCAACGTTGCGTTGGTTTTTTTAAACCGAAATAGCTTTTGTTTTGACATCACCAATGGATATATTTCTTGCAGACGTCTCAATCGCCACCCTTTTCTGACAATCCGTTCTTGAGGTACAAGGGAATATGCCAGCGACCACGATAAGAGGTCAAGGAGGAGAATGGGAACCGGAAACTAAAGAATGACTAGATCCATTGTGGTTGTTTTACTTCGGACAAGCTGCTCACTCGGGACTGGAGCATTAACTAATCCAAAAGGCAGTAGCAGACGAAATCAGCCAGTTTCATGTGGTGTAGTACAAATAAGACACCCTTATTAGTTCTATTTATTTAAGGCTGGACCGAAAACGGTATCAATAAATGTATACAAGTCTTCGCACTTCTGTTGCGTATTTACATGCTTACTAGAACCCCAAACAATTAAGCCATCAACTTGCAACTCTCTCAAGGTCGAAATTGAATTCACCACGTCTCTCTGTAACATTCGTGAGCAGTTCTTCGTTGATTTCTACTTGTACCTACCTCGGATAGGAACCGATCCGTATCCGGATGTATCACCGTGTAATATGGGATAATGGCGCGCTCCTTTTGCGTATTCAGAGTTTTGGCTATCCGTTGAGCTTCCCGAACTCGTCCTTTGATAAACTGCACCCGCTGAGTGGGCGTGAAAAATGCTTGTCTGAGGTACAGCGATGGGTTGAGGGTGTCGCTTGTCGCAAACAACCATTTTATTCTGAAAGTTTGCGGAAATAGATTCCGGGTGGTCTCGTACACAACTCACCTGTCATTTTCACTTTGAACGTTAGGGGCGCACCTCTCCTCCATGTCGTTGTTAAAACAGTGGGGAAATCCGTAGTAGCCCCAAGAGGCTCGCGGCCTCAACCTCTGGGCCATCTTCAATGTCCCCTCCATAAACGCGCGCGCAGACTCCTCAAACCTCCTCGCCGCCTCGGCCTTAATTCGCGCATCGGACCAAAACCAGTGCCTCTGCCGCTCGATCTTCTCGGAGAGATCCTTGTACTTCGCGAGGGTGCCGAAGTTCTGCCGATAAATCGGGCGCCAATCCTCAAAGTCGATTATGCCCAAGCCTGCGAAGTTCGCGTCGGGAATCAGGCGAGCGATGTCCTCCTCGAAAGCGCGAAGATGTCTCGCCAGGTCGCCCTCTTGGGGAACGCCGCCGTTCTTCAGCTCGTCGGTCGGTAGGATCGCCGGGAATAGTCCTGGATCGTAAAGGAGAGCGATTCGGTCACCGCGGAATGTGTCGTTCTTGTTCTGGATGATGTTGTACTTCATGGCCAGCTCGTCGAAGCCGAGCTTGTATCTGGCACACTGAAATGTGGGTAGGTTCCAGTATGTTATGAAAGGTGGCCTTCGGTCGCGAAATTCGGTACTAAAAGCAAACACAACTGGATAAGCAAAAGATTTCGAGAAGATCGGAAAGCAAAGAACGTTGAAGAATGGACGATGGACGCTAAGAAAGAAAAGATTAGGCCGAAGAAGAGGATGGGGAAAGGGTAATTAGTGGGAAAATAGCGAGTCGTCAAGGGAAAACAAAGAGAACGGAACGGATAAGTTGAAGGGAAGAGCAATAAAACAAAGGAAAAGGAAACACAAGAAGAGGGAAATGGAATGAGAGAGAAAAGCGATTGGGAAAGAGAAAGGAAAAAAAATTGCAAGTAAAGTGAATGTAGAATGGAAGGTGATATGGAGGGATGGAAATGAGATGCAAGGGGTGAAGAGGAAAAAGGAAAGAGGGAATGGGAGGTGAGGTTGAATAAAATAGGTAAGAAAGGGAAGGATAAGAAATGTGAAGAGAATGGGAGAGAAATGTCTTTGTCGGATGGAATAGAGATGAGAATAGGAATTGGTTTGGGAATAAGAAAGGGGAAAAAGAAAGGGTTTAGAAATAGAAAAAGTAAAGTAAAAATAAGTACATGGTCAGTAATAAGAAAGAAGAAGAAGAATGAGAACCGGAAAGAAATAAATAGGAAATCAAATTCAGAAGGTGCGCGAGTAGAGATAGCTGAACCAGAGGAAGATGAAGCGGAAAAAAAACTGAAGAATGAGATGCCAGAGAAGATACCAAGAAGAAAGAGGTGAGTAAAAAAGAGAGAAAGAAACTAATAACCAGAAAATAGGAGAAATACAGGGGACGAGGAAAGAGAAACTCAATGGAAAACTAAAATATGATTGGAGAAGAAGGAAAAGAAAAATATCAGCAGGAAAAGTTTAATAGAAAACATAAAAGAAGTAACATTATAAAGATAGAGAAACATATAGGAAGATAACGTACTGAAGAAAGATAGTATTCATCAAAAGGAAGGAAAAGAAAAGGGAGCACGTAATGGCAAAACAAGGAAAAAATGAGAAATAGAAACAAATGACAAAACAAAAAAAAAAGAGAAAAATACAAAGAAAGAGGAAAAATAGGAGGTAAATCGTAAGGTGCAGTGGGAGAAGAGTGGAAAAGACGGGAAAGAGCAAAACAGGGGAAGAAAGTGGGAGAAAAAACGAAAAAATGATTGGTGTGGTTAAAGAGAAGGGACAGGAAGGGAGCGCGAAAAGAAGATAAGAAATGGAAAAAAAGATAAAGAAGTAAGAGTGAGAAGTAAGGAAAGGTAAGGTAAGGTAAAAAGAAATTTAAAAAAACGGAAGCGGAAGGAGTAACGGGGAGTTAAAATGGGTACCTAAAGGGAAATAATAGGCCCAAGAAGAGCATGGCGAAAAAGAAAAGAGCTCGAAAGGAAAAAGAGAAAGGAACGGGTAAGATGAAGCGGGAGGGAACGCGAAGGAAAAATGGCAAGAAAGGTGGGAGAGAAGGTGATGTGAACGGGTGGAAATGACAAGCGAGGGTGCGAAGAAGAAAAGCGAAAAAAGAGAGTAAGAGGAAAATAAAGGGGAAGTTAAATGCGGGGTGAGGTTGAGTAAAAGGGGTAAAAAAGGGAAGGTTGGGAAATGAGAAAATGAGAAGAATGGAAACCGGAAAAAAATAAATAGGAACGTTAAAGGAAATAAAATTCCGTAGTGAAGATGAAACGGAAAATTCTGAAGAATAAGAAATAAAGTATACGGAAAAATGGAATACCCCCACCACACCGAAAGAATCGATTATCTTTTCCCACTATCATGGTAATCTTTGTGAAATGGCATTAAAGTCTTCGTTTGCTGGGCGGGGGGGGGGGGGGGATTACATACTGCCACGCCTACCAGTCCTACGTTCTCGCCCAATATATTTAGGAAAATACTTTTTGTAAAAAGGGTAGTCAAATTTTTCTTTTCTGGGAGATATTCCATACACAAGAGTTCTAAGGGTTGAACGCATTGGAGGGAAGAATGTAGCACTGGGGGGGTCTGGGGGGTACGGAATACCCCCAGTAGATATTATAAACAGATCCAGTTACCTTTTCCCAAAGGCTACCATCATAGTGCTAGGGAAATTGTTGAGTCAGCTCTATTGCTAGAGCTACTCTGAAAAAAAAAACAAAAATAATAGAGTGAAAGAGAAGAACGGAAAGAGATAGCGAGTACGGAAACAGAAGAAGAAGTCGGACAAATCGAAAAAAGAAGTAATCAAACACAGAAATAAAAATCAAAATTTTCAGATTTTCATAGAGGAGCTGAGTTCGATCTTCAAAAATAACAAGATAACAGAAGTATGAGAAGCCCATAATGAGTGAGGATAAGGAGATGAGAATTATTAGGCATCATACGAGAAGGCCATAATGCGACATAGTTCAAAAGTTACAGCCCTTTGAATTTTCTTTCGAAATTCGTTTCTAGTCTATAACTTTTGATTGAGAAGTCTGATCGAAAAAGTACAAATTGTTTTGGATTCTACGCACCAAAATTAATAAGAAAAAGGGTTTTCCCGAGAAATTTTGGTGCAGTCGATTTTTGGCTAAAAAGGAAGGTTATACACTGCCTTTTTTGAGGCCCGAAGAAAAAATTGTCTCCGATCAACCCGGAAAAAAATTGTTCTTATAGAATGTGGCCTGTAGAATCCATAATTTCAAACAGTTCCAAGATTGCGCTACTAGTTCAAAAGTTACAGCCCTTTGAATTTTCTTTCGAATTTCGTTTCTAGTCTATAACTTTTGATTGAGAAGTCTGATCGAAAAAAGTACGAATTGTTTTGGATTCTACGCACCAAAATTAGTGAGAAAAAGTGTTTTCTCGAGAAATTTTGGCGCAGTCGATTTTTGGCTAAAAAGGAAGGTTATACACCGCCTTTTTTTGAGGCCGGAAAAAAAATTGTCTCATATCGACCCGGAAAAAAAATTTTCTTATAGAATCTGGCCTGTAGAATCCATAATTTCAAACAGTTCCAAGATTGGGCTACTAGTTCAAAAGTTACAGCCCTTTAAATTTTCTTTCAAATTGGTTTCTAGTCTATAACTTTTGATTGAGAAGTCTGATCGAAAAAGTACAAATTGTTTTGGATTCTACGCACCAAAATTAATAAGAAAGAGGGTTTTCCCGAGAAATTTTGGTGCAGTCGATTTTTGGCTAAAAAGGAAGGTTATACACTGCTTTTTTTTTTAGGCCCGAAAAAAAAATTGTCTCAGATCGACCCGGAAAAAAATTTTCCTTATAGAATGTGGCCTGTAGAATCCACAATTTCAAACAGTTCCAAGATTGGGCTACTAGTTCAAAAGTTACAGCCCTTTGAATTTTAAGTAACCTTGCCAAGGAAAGTTTCGATAATTCTCTCTTTATATTGCCCTTGCACCCTCATGGTAGACTTTGGGAAAATTTAATTAAATCTTCGTATACAAGGGGGTATTCCGTACCCCCGGTACTACGTTTAATGATAATTTTTTAAAAAAAGACCGCAAAACTTAGAACCAAGATACGACTGTGCTTTGCTAAAACCTATCATGAGGGTTTTATAAGTGAAACTACTAAGAAGAACGTACTACCGGGGGGTCTGGGGGGGTATGGAATACCCCCCAGCAGTAACCTTGGCAAGGAAAGTCTCAATAATTCTTTCTCTATTGCCCTTGCACTCTTTGGGAAAATGCAATTGAATCTTCCTTTAAAAAAAAGGAGTCATGAGCACCTGCCAGGCCTTGGGAAGCGCTACAGCACTGCACCGAACCAAAAGGTTCAAACCGGGGAACCTTAGATGGGACATCTATAGTAATTCTTGGGGAGGATTGTCTACAAGAGGTGACCGAAACCCCACCCCACATAATGCCGATAAAGCACCGACCTAGGGGCACCATACAGTATAAACCTTACACAAAAAGTGGTACATAAGACGGTTCAAAACAAAAAGAGGGGTCTTTCACCCTCATAAAGCAAAAAATGAGTAGCATGGAGACAAAAAGAGATATCGTCACAGACAGTTAAGCTACACTGAAGGCGTTAGTAGCCCGTACCTACGACTCAAAAATGGTCTGGGAGGGCATCTGCAATCCAAAGAAATTGGCAACTGATGACAACCGTATCGCACTATGGTGGATGGCAGATGAACTGGCCCGGCGGAAGCCAATGGGACTGCACAGAAGTCACATAAGAGAAACCCTACACCAGTGGGAGGAGATTACTGGCAGAAGGTATTAGGACAGCGACAGGCCAAATTATTCTTCACGGCCACGCCACGTTACTAAAAGCTATGGAAGCTTCAGCCCTCAACAGGAAGGATCTCTGGTCCATTACAGGGCTGCTCACAGGCCATACCATCTACATAAGATTGTTTCAGCGGCGGAGGCCACATGCAGACTTTGTGGACAGACAGTTGAGGCATCTGAACACATTCTAAGTGGATGCGAGGCTGCTGCCGGGCAAAGGCTAAATAACCTCGACGGGGATAGGAGCTGAAACCGCACTAAACCTTAGAGCACCTTCTCAAATCGGCTAAAACTACTCTAAAACGAGTAAGGCCAGCACAAAAATCCTTAGTGCCATTTGACTGGTAATCAATGTAACTCAATTAATGAATTTGGCATATCATGTTCTCCTGATTGAATTGTCTCAAAGAATGATCGCAAGCGTTACTACAAAAATATTTGTCTGAAGAGCACAAAAACTGGGTACCTAAGGATTAATCACCTCTATGACATCCTGATATCATAAAGTAGGTACTTAAGAAACTATCAAAAAGGTCAGTACACCTCCTCCTCCTCATGTTCTCCCGCAAACTACGCAATTTCGTAAAGATTAAAAAACCACATCCCGCAATTAGTGCATATTTATCGCACGCAAGTGAAATCTCGCAACTTTCATTTTCAAACAGATTCTTTACCTACGTACTACGTTAAACAAAGACAAAGTAGATCATACCTGCTTTCCGCTGCGAATTCGCCGAGGTAAGTCAAAAAAAGGAAAAAAACTGCGTGGTACATCTTAACTCGGAAGCTAATTGGACTTAAATGTTCCATTTCCATTTTGCTTATGACTCTATATATAGGTAGCCAAGTCGAGACATTGGGGACGATTTTAATTAAAACCACAAGTGTATATGCTTAACGATATCAGAAGGAGATAAAGGTGGCATTGTTGTACGGGCGCCTAACGAAATTATGAAAATTAGCTTGAATAATTAGCCAACGCACAACATGCGTTCGAAAAACTGGACTGAGGTTGTCAAATCTTAGATTACGCTAATGGGGCAATTATGATATGGTCGCAGTCTTCAAACGCTTGGGTTTGTCGAGAGGAGAAGTACTTGACATGAATTTCAATACAAATATCTAAGTGTTACGAAAACTTAATTAAGAGCAAGTAAAGCGCACAGGCTGAAATGAGCCATGATGTAATTTGACTTTTATGGCACCATGACGGCTTTAGCGATACGACCATGACATTCTGTTTGAGTTGGCTTAATTTCAACTGAAACGAACATGTTATCAAAGTCTTCTCAATCAATGCCAAAAAGGAACAAATTCAACGTTTAAAATACGGAACATGTGAAAATTAGTGAATCGAAACTCATATCGCGCATAGGACAATTTTTGTGTTAGCAGAATCTCGCCCCTGAGACAGGTAACAATGGACCCTCGTTCGAGATTTTCCAGATTTCTCCTTCTTGTAAAAAAGTCGCGCGGTGCCAGCTCTCAAAAATGTGTGTACCTATCAGTGGAAGTTGTATGATACTATAATAATCCGTGGATTTTATACGGGACCGGCTTCATAAAGAAAGAGAACGGAACTAGTATGCGAGAAAGCGCGTTGATATAAGCCTATAAGCTTTGTTTATTCGAAGATATGGAAGTCGGCAGTGTTGCCGGTTCTAAACCGTCGTGAGGTAGAATGAGGAGCGGTGATTCTGCTATACCTCTACACGTACATGAAAGAAAGTGAACGTTTGGATTTGTCGTTTCATCATTCGAGCTGGACGAGAACATTAAGTAAAAATCGGGTGAGAGAAAGGCATTCTTTCGAGGGAAACCTATGTAACGTAAGCGCGGCGATTTTTAGACACGAAAATTCTTCGCCAAGTTTCATATAAAACAATCGTTAACCGCGCAGCCGGAAAATTTGTACCACCAATTTCGACTAAAGTTATTGTCGGGGGTGTTTTTTAGATTCGTCACGATTTTCCATTACAAGTAACAAGTGGTCGTGGCCTACGAAAATAGAGCAACTTAATTACGTAGCGGAGTCGATCGACCGGCTGATATAAATTTCAACAGTGAATGGTGCGGATGCGAACAAATTTGTTTCGTAGTATTATTGAATTAACGTGCTTCCATTTAAACAAATTGTTACCACGAAAGCGTTCAAGTCCAAGGTGCAAAACGTTCATTGCGCTAGTTACGTTAAAAAACAAGTTTGTCAATCAAAACTGTGCCCCTCTCTTCTGTATACGGGGTGTTATTAGAAATTATTAAAAAGGCAACCGGTAAAAAGGTTAAAGACAATTAATTCGGGCTTTTGTTAACTGTCAAGATCACAAGTTGTAAGGGTAATTTTGGACATTTCCATACCGCGAAACATTGGTAAATTATTCCAGTAAATAAACCAAATTATTAAAATTCGAAAAACCCGAAGCACGGTTTGTTCCGAATTCAAATTCGTCAACTATTCACTTTCAGCGAGTAACCAAATTTTAACTGGCGATACGAAAGGTTCGATTGTATTGTGCAAGGCGTTCCACTATCCAATTTTCCAAATTGCAGGCGCTCATTTCACTATTTATCACATCCACATCGATGCTAAGACTGAGACTAAACACAATTCAGTAACGAAGCACCCGTTTTCTAATATGGAATCTACCCGCGTTAATGAACGCACATGGATGAAATCGAACAGGCGCTTCGTTACTAAAAACCGTTCTAGACATTTATATTCCAGGAGGTGACAGTGAAGTGTAGAATTAATTGGTTTAACCGTTTTCATCCGCCGATAGTAAAAGAAAACTTTTTATTACTTTTGTAACCGTTCCCGTGGGAATTTCGAGATTTCCGTTTCGTTTATTAATTATTAGTCGATTTTAGTTTTGCGATGCTAATTTAAAAACAGAATTGAAGCAAGCAAGGCCATGCAAAGTACGTAAGCCGACCTCTCGCTTGACCAGGCAATTGCAGTCGACAATTGGTATTACCGAATTATGGAATTTCAATCCGGCCAATTAAGTAAGTATAATTACCGTTAGCTAACTAGATGTGCTGCAGCAAACGGCGTCTGATTAGACTGCGTTTAGTGTCACTGGAAGTGCGCTACTTTACCACGATGTGTCATGTCATGTTCCGGAGTTTTAAGATGTCAGGGAGCCGAGCAATTAAAAAATAAAATAATGTTCATTTTCTTACACCTATCATATAATCCTTAGGAGCACTGGAAAAATATTCCATGTCCGGTATTCTCCAACGTACCTCTCCAAAACGTTCAGTTCTAAATTAACAAATTATAGTGTGTTGGGAGAATAAAATATATTTAAATATGAATGAATGATGTTATTATGTTATATGCCAAATGAGCGTATATATTCATAGAAAAATCTATGGATGTTTGGAATATTCACATATCGTCTAGCACGGTCACATGGTGACGTCATCACAAAAAACTTACGTGAACTTCGGGAAAATACGTGGAGAGTTGGTTGCTTGTAGCCAGCTATTTCATGATTTTTTTTTAAGTGTGCCTAGTCCATATGTACAGTTGTGTAAACTACGTCATATAGAGGTCATTTTGACTTCAGCACCATCAATATTGTTGGGCCACCCTGTATGTAAAAAAATTTTGAAGTGTAAACCTGATAGCTCACTTGAATTTGTATTTCAGTGTTCAATTTAAATGAGGTTACATCTGGTCGTTTGCGATAAGAAGTGTTTTTTTTTATCGCGCGAAATTTAATTAACGCACGTGTTTTATCGCTGATAAGAGAGGCGGGTGTTTTGCAAAGATGCGCGCCTTACCCGCCTGGACCAAGAAGCGAAAACTTCAGCAAATAACCTAAATCCCAAGGGTCAGGGGGCCGGAGGAGAGCCACTCCGTCGCCTTACACATGTGCAGGGGACATTTAATGAATTACGAACGAATGAGGATGTTTAACGCTTTTACAAAGATTGTCGTTACAATATTCCGCGTCAAGTTCCTTGAAGAGGAATTATCCAATTAATTAATAACTTCGGTATTTTTATTCCAGTAATAGGTAGGATTCATAGCTGCTAACACTATTATAGCCAATTATTATTTATCACTTGCAATTTATAACATAACTCAAGCGCATCGAAGTTGGAACTGTCTTGAAACGCGATTTGCGTATAAAGTGTTCTCGAGTATTAGCGAGTCTGTTCGAATGTTCTAAAACAAAACACGTCATAGTTCCGCTAAAGATTACGTCACATCCGCGTTCGTCCTTTATCGCCGATTACTATAATCTTTCATGGCGCCTCGATGTCTATCGTAATTTCTGGAATGTTCACTACAATACGCAGAATTTAATTTTATTAATTAATTAAATTAACTAGGCAGGGATGGCTACGCCCTGGGTCTCCCACTACTCTGAGTACTCGTGCCTTTATCACCTTTAACGAGTCATGGTCGCGTCCGATTTCTCGAAAAGTGGCAATCGAGCTTTTACCAGAAAATTCTGGAATAAGAAGTTGAGTAAATGTCGACTTTGTACGCCTCAGGAGTCCAACGTAGAGGAGAATGCTGCTCCCCCATGAAGCATTTGAATGATTTCGCATCCGTTCAACCAGATTTACTGAAATTGGGTAGCGGGTACTACACTTTTCTGGGTAAAAGCCATGAAATCTAGTAGTTACTCGCCTAGGATACTTAGCTTCACCACTGAAAATGTTGTTACTGAGCCCAGTCATTACAAGGTGTATCCCATGGGAGGTGTTTTAATTCCAGCTGACCCAACTCCCTATCTACGCGTTGAGATTACAGATTAGCCTTCGATTTCGCATAAGTTCCACAACGAAATAGCCGCACGCAGTTATTTAGATAAGAACCTGGCATTGATAACCGTAATTCGATCGATGTAAATGTAAATAAAATTTGAAGCTATAGGTAAAAACCCTGAAAATAACCACATATAATAACCCCTTTAACCTACCTCCAATCAATAAATGATTTTGCCGCAACGATTGACTTATAAGTCGGTTCGAAACTCCAATGGCAAAAGGTAAAAATACCAGTCAACTCACGTATTAATAAAATCCAAATTATATCCTCCAGGCCGGAGAAATCCCACAACCCCAAAGAACAATATTTAAAGATGATGCAATTAGAACCGCATGGATTTCACCATTTCACGTGTTGAACTAAAACGTGCTTGTCGAAATAATGAGGGCGGAAACAGAATAGCCAAATCACAACCGAAAGGACAGATAATTTAAATGTCTCCAAAGGGCCGTCAAAGCACTAAAAACCCTCAAAAGCATCCCTTCCATTTGGATAACTCCTCCCGTGATAAATGTTACTAAAGTGTCTCAAAAGATATTCCCTTCGGCCTGGAAAAGATCCCAGTTGAATCTTTAATAGCTCTCAAGGCTCTAAATAACCTCAAAATCCTTTTTTATTCGCCTAAACCCTCAAAATTAGATCACGAGCAGTAGAAAGTAGATCGGCCTGGGCAAAGTCCCCATTGATTCTTTAAGAATGTCTCCAAAGGGACTTCAAAGCCCTAAATAACCTTTAAAAAACTCATCTATTTTAAAAAACCCTCAAAATTAAACCATGGGTGATCGATAAATGTGTCTATACTCTAAATAGGTATGTTTTTTAAGGAAAATAGACAGCCTGGAAAAGGTCCCAGTTGTGTCTTTAAAAAAGTGTCTCCAAAAAGAGCCTTTATAGACCTTTTCTATTAAGATAAGCCTCAAAATTAAATCACGAGCAGTCGATAAAGGCCTCTAAAGCATTTCTTCAAGGAAAATAGTCGGCCTCTTTCACAGACAGCAAGTCCTCTGTATCTTCAGTGACTTGCTGGGCGGGAGTGGACTCGGCCGGTCTCTGTTCTGGTACCGGATTGGGCGCCATCCATCGGTTTGGATGGTAATAAACGGTGGGCAATAGGTGAAGACCACGATGGCGATTTGGACGTGTCTTTGTAAAAAGACGGTCTGCGTGGTTCGAATCCGGAGTGTATAGTGTGTTGGCTTGGTAGAAAAACTTGGCTGAAACCCCGCCCATTTAAAAAATACAGACCAAAGATTCTACCCCCTTTTCGGAGAGTGAAGCGCCCCCATAACTAATCAGATGTAAAGCAGCAAACGGCGTCTGATTAGGCAGTGCTTAGTGTCGTTGGAAACGCGCTAATTTTGTATGATGTCGCCATCTGATCATAGATATATCCGAGAAGAATCAACTGGGATCGCTATATAGAGAGAACCAGTGCCAGGTCCACAGGCGTGGATAGCGGTTTCTTGAAGAAAATTGAGGGGGGAGGGGGGGAACGCAAAGGAGACCTTGGTAACTATAGCGATAATTTTACGTAAATTTTTTCCGATTTTATTCCATTGAAAAATGCAAAGATTGTCATGGTTTCAATAATATTCCTTATGTCCCATTAAAGTTTTTATTTCGTCAATTGGAGTTCAACGAGCTTTATTTGTTGTCTTCGTCATATCATTGAATTTATATTTGTTATAATGAAAATTAACAGCGTATCTCCGCCATTTCTATTCCACCATGAAATAGGCGTTTTAAGATAGCTTAGTATAGAGACTTAGGGAGAGAGGATTAATTCTGCATTAATTAAGAGTCTTGTTTTGACATCCGAGGAGTCAAGACGAAAGAGTCGTGCCAATTTGAGATACCTATCATAGAAAAAGTGTGTTATAGTTTTCGTTAAGTTAAAGTACGCCTATGGATCTTCACATAATCGTATAGAAATAAAAGTTAGTAAAAGACACCAGTATTTATATACGGCGTGCTATTCAGCAAATTCCATAAACATCTTACCGCACCCCACACACTGCCACAACGTATAAAGAAAGGTACTCGGCGAAATTGCGATAAAGAAAACTGTCAGCAAAATATTCTCTTTCATTTAATGCATGGGAACTAGGAAGGTTTTTTTTTTGTAATTTTGAATGTTTCGGATTTGGAGGATCGGAAAATATGGAAACTCGGCTTTTACTTAAGAAATTAAGGGTCTTTTATTTAAATATACTAATTTAGTATTTTATAATAAAATAAACTATTCGCTACCCGTCTCTGCAAAATGTCCAAAGTTATCACCAACACTTTAAAAACTACATAGTAGTGGGGGACCAAAAGTTCATCTCCCGATACTCGGAAGGTTTCGCGTTAAACTCCTTCTTCGCACTGCTAACACTAGGTTTAGTTTCGTGAACGTTAAGCGAGGAGATCGCCTTTAAAATATCACTCTTGACGCTCTCCTCCGGTATCTGCTCGACCGACATCGACATTTCGCGTTTACTCAAAAGTCCCTGCAGAATCCAACTGTTCGGCTGGCTGTCGGCGTCGACGAACGGGCCTGTGAAATACTTGTTTACGGTCAGCCGGCGCCTGCCCTTCGGCGAGGTCTGCGGCGAGGTGAGGGGGGAGGCGGGTAGCGATTTGCTGCCTCTTCGTCGCGACGGCGCGAAGCTCTTCGGTCGGAGGGGATCGGCGTCGACCATCGCCGTCTGGTTGATGGGATACTTGCCGGAGACCATCTGATGGGCGACCCTCACCACGGAGCTTCCGCACGCGGCGCCCTCGCCTTTGAAACCGTCATCCGTGCCGTTGGACTTGATTTTGACGTCTTTCGGTTTGTTCTTCACCGCCGAAGGGACGTCTGCAATTAGCAAATTGGGGGGTGAGAGGCTGAGAGGCGCGAGGGGGGGGAGGGTACTTACAGCCCGGGTTTACGATGTATTGCTTGCACGGAGCCGTGTGATTGTCGTAGTCAATTGTGCAGTTTGAGACGTTCGGTTTCGTGTCGGCGGCGGCCTGAAGCTTCTTTGCCAGTTGGGGATAGCCGATGTACAGAAAGCTGTCGTCGTTGCTGGGGGGCGAAATCGTGTTTTGGTCCAAGTCAAATCTGTAATGAGGAATTGTATGTAAATAATAGGCATGACTTTGTTTTTTTAACAGTATTCCCCTAATTAATATTAATGACAATTTGCGTAAAAACCTTGAAGTTTACCTAATTTGGTTTTGCGCGATAACGAAAGCCACCTTAATTGTCTACTGTCGCCAGGGTCAGGCGCCCTGATCGAAGGTAATCGCGCAGGGCCGGAGTGGACAGGCGAGATACTTGAAAAAGTGTCCCTTAAAGGTTAAATACCCTGGTAGCCAGAAAAAAGTTACAATTTTGCTAACAGATGCCAGTGTATTAGGAGCAAAATTAGCCGCTGGCAGCACATACTCTCCTGATACAAAAAATAAAATACATTAAATCGATGTGCTTGATCATATCTCTTGAGAATAGAAAGACACATCCTCCTAGCAAGATTTTCCATTTATTAGGAGTAGAACCACCTCCTCGCCTGATACCCCTGATACAATCGTTGTAAGAGTTTCCGAGCTTTTGAATTGACCCGATACTCAGTATATTAAGAGCAGAAATTACCGCTCAGACACTATACAACAGGGCAATTCAATTTTCAAACTGATACTCCACGTATTAGGTGCAGAAACACCTTCTCACACATCATATTCTCTTGATACACAACATGTTCGTTCGAGATATTCACAATTAAGTTTTTACATCGCCGGTAGATCTCTCTCGTCTAGACGTTCTGTCTGCCCTTTGAGAGTACACTCCTCCGACACTCCGTTCTGCGTTTGCACCGAAAGTTTTAACATGACCAATAGATATGTCTCGTCCAGGCAAATTATTTTGCCTTTGTGGGTACTTACCTCTGACAAACCGTTTTCGAGATCTCTTAAAGGCGTCCCAATCAGCCTTTGTTGAGATCTTTCATTAGATTACCATGAACGATAAAACCAGTTCTAACCCCCCCCCCTCCCCCTCTCCAATCTGACTGTGTTCATAAGGAATTAGAAAAAGAACGGTTGCTATAAAACAGTTCCTTTTGTTGAGACCTTTAATTAGAATACCATGAAAGCTAATTAATCCCCCCCCCCAACGTGTGTTCACCCCCCCCCCCCCCAATTTTCTTTCAAACATTTTACTTGGCATCACTAAAGGCGTGCGTATGCAAATTCTGAGACCAGTTGGTTTCACGTTTCACATTCACATTCAAAACAGCATCTCAAAAAATAATTTATGCCCCCCCCCCTCTTTGAGACAGCGAAATTTGATAACCGTCTGGCACACCTTCAAGGTATAAGCTACGAGATAAGCTACGTAAAAAATGAACGTGGAATGGAAAGAAGAAAAACGGGGAGGACAATATGGCAAGAGGAACAGAAAAGATATCAGAAAATTCGAATGAAGAAATGAAAATGAGAATGGAGAAAATGAAACGGAACATGTAGATGAAGGAGAGGGAGAAATAAATAAAAAAACATGAAGATTCGGAGGAGGTCATTGATGATAGAGAGAAGACAACGAAGAGGTAGATGATAGGAGAGATGAAAAAGACCTTATTTGAACGGTTGACCATTTTACCCAAAGAAGAAATATTGACAAACGGAGAAAAGAAACACAACACAAAAAGAAGTTACGAGTGCAAAAGTGGACAGAGCGAGCAGTCTGGTTAGAGAAAGCGGGAAAAGACGAGTGGCGACAAAACATGAAAAAAAGAATGAAAGAGAAAGGAGGAAGAGAAAGAAGCCGATGGAAAAAAATTGAAGGATGTGAGAGGGAGAAAAAAGGAGACAAAAGAAAGAGGCGTGGGGAAGGATCGTGATGTCGGAGGGATGAAAAATAGAAAAACATACAGAGGAGGGCTATGGTTGGTAGAAACTAATTCCTTTCGTTGAGACTTTTCATTAGAGTACAATGAAGGATAAAACTAGTTCCACTCCCCCCCCCCCCTTCCCTTACCCCTTCTCCCCGTACTTTGATAAGAGAACAAAAAGAAGAGCGGTGGTTGGTAGAAAACGGTTCCTTTCGTTGAGACCTTTAATTAGAATACAATGAGAAAAAAAAGGAATTCCCCCCTCCTCACCCCGTCCCCTCAGGTCCCGTCGCTCACTGATCTGGAAAAAGTGTCGCACGGGAAAGCTGTAGTTTGTACAAACCAATTTATTTCGATAAGACCTTTCATTAGAATACCATGAAGGGTGGAACATGTGTTTACCCCCCCCCCCCCCCCCCTTGGCACCACTAAAGGCATGCGTATGCCAAATCTGAGACCAATTGGTTGTCGTATGTAAAAGTTATGCACGTTTTAAACAGCATCTCAGGCAATAATTCGTGGGGGGGGGGGGGGCGCCTTTTAGACAGCGAAATTTGATGGCCGTCTGGCACACCTTCAAGGTATGGGCTACCTACTGCAAAAAATTCCAGAACTCTAGGACCATTCCCCTAAAAGTAGTTCAAAACGGTAGAAGTGGGTCCGGACGGACGGACGGACAAAACCACACAATAGCACACTGCTTTTAATTCTTAAAAAATGCGCTAAAAATGATATGTGGAAGAGGAGGAGGTGGGGAATACATAGTGGGAGTAAAAGGAGCCAAGTAAGTATTACCCAACAAGGCAATATAAAAGACAAGGAGAGGAAGAGGAGTGTTGAGGAAGAAAAGCAGAAGGGAAAAGAAGATAGAGAGCGAACGAGAAAAAACTGTGACCTAGCATAATAAAAAAGAAAGAAGAGAAACGTAAAAATGGAAAGGAGAGGAAGATGTGGTCGAAATAGCGAATGGAAAGGATGGAAGAGATGAAGAAACTAAGACGAGAGTGCAAGGGGAATAAGACGACGAAGACAGTGGATAAAAAAGTAGATAATGGTATGGAAAGAAAGAGTAATGCGGAAGGAGGTTGACAGTGGGAAGATGGTGAGCAAGAGAAAAGGGTATAGAAAGGGAAAGTAAAGAATATAGAACGAAAATTAGGATGAAGAGAATAAAGGATCATATGAAAGGAATAGTGATCTTCCTACACAAACAAAGTGTAGTAGAAGACTAAAAAAGGAAACAGGTGGAGTAGAAAGGAGCGGAAGGAATAGAAGGAGAAAAATGAATGAGAAACGCATGAAAAACAGAAAATCTCGATGAAGAGAGTAAATTAAAAATAGAAAGACGAGAAAGAGGAAGATGTTGCATAAGAGAAGGGAATGTGAGGAGAGAAACAAGACAAAAAAACAAGAAAGTCGAAAGCAGAGACTGAGGTTGGAGAAAATGGTTAAAACATATAGAGGATACATGGCAGGAGAGGGAGAAGGTAATGAAATGGAAGAAAGGAACAAGAGAAAATAATGGACAAGTGAAGTGAAGAAGACAAAGAAATTGAAAATGGAGAGAGAAAGAGGGAGAAGAGAGGAGCAGGGTAACAGATCAGAAACCAGGAAGGATGCAGTATCAGGAGAGAAGCAGGTGGGACTATGTGAAAATGTGGCTGAAAAAGGGAAAGGAGTCGACTAGGAGAAAAACGAAAACGCGAGTTAAGGGATTGAAGAATAGAAAAGATAAGGAGAACAAAGAAAGGTTAAAAAACGAGTAGGGAAGAACAGAGATGATAAAACAAGAAGGCGTGGTTAAATGTCGAAAGTCATGTCAAGCAAAGATGAGAAGCGGGTGCTAGGTAATGTACATTTGGAAAATCTGGAGAGAAGGGAGGCGAGGATGGAGCAGATGAGGAAGAGTTGACAACAGAGCACAAAGATGAGGTGAAAGAAGGTGAGAGAAAGAGATGAAGAGGGGTGAGCTCGCTCTGAATTCGTAGACATAGTGTTAAATGGCACAAAAAATTTGACCAAGCTGTGTCTACGAACGCCGAGCGAGCCGGAGGCTCTGCTTGAGACTCCATTCATTATAGTGTCCTGATACAACAGTTGGAAAGGTTTAAACAAAGTAAAAAAAAAGGCGTGCTCATCGATTCTGTCGAATCCGTCTATTAGGAGCCGAAACACATCCTAGTACATGATATTCTCTGGATATAAAATACGTTAAAGCGAAGACCTCACCTATTCTGTTCTCCTGGTTGGTAGTGGGAGAAAACAATATTTTTCGTACAGGTACTTCGTGTGTCAGGAGCAGAAACACATCCTAGTACATGATATTCTCCTGATACATAATACGTTAAAGCGAAGACCTCACCTATTCTGTCCTACTGGTAGGTATAGCGGGAGAAAACAACATTTTTCGTACAGGTACTTCGTGTGTTAGGAGCAGAAACACATCCTAGTACATGATATTCTCCTGATACAAAATACGTTAAAGCGAAGACCTCACCTATTCTGTTCTCCTGGTAGGTAGAAAACAATATTTTTCCTACAGGTACTTCGTGTGTTAGGAGCAGAAACACATCCTAGTACATGATATTCTCCTGATACAAAATACGTTAAAACGAAGACCTCACCTATTCTGTTCTCCTGGTTGGTAGTGGGAGAAAACAATATTTTTCGTGCATGTACTTCGTGTGTCAGGAGCAGAAACACATCCTAGTACATGATATTCTCCTGATACATAATACGTTAAAGCGAAGACCTCACCTATTCTGTTCTACTGGTAGGTAGTGGGAGAAAACAATATTTTTCGTGCATGTACTTCGTGTTTTAGGAGCCGAAACACATACTGGTACATGATATTCTCCTGATACAAAATACGTTAAAGCGAAGACCTCACCTATTCTGTTCTACTGGTAGGTATAGTGGGAGAAAACAATATTTTTCGTACAGGTACTTCGTGTGTTAGGATCAGAAACACATCCTAGTACATGATGTTCTCCTGATACATAATACGTTAAAGCGAAGACCTCACCTATTCTGTTCTACTGGTAGGTATAGCGGGAGAAAACAACATTTTTCGTACAGGTACTTCGTGTGTTAGGAGCAGAAACACATCCTAGTACATGATATTCTCCTGATACAAAATACGTTAAAGCGAAGACCTCACCTATTCTGTTCTCCTGGTAGGTAGTGGGAGAAAACAATATTTTTCCTACAGGTACTTCGTGTGTTAGGAGCAGAAACACATCCTAGTACATGATATTCCCCTGATACAAAATACGTTAAAGCGAAGACCTCACCTATTCTGTTCTACTGGTAGGTATAGTGGGAGAAAACAATATTTTTCGTACAGGTACTTCGTGTGTTAGGAGCAGAAACGCATCCTAGTACATGATATTCTCCTGATACAAAATACGTTAAAGCGAAGACCTCGCCTATTCTGTTCTCCTGGTAGGTAGTGGGAGAAAACAATATTTTTCGTACAGGTACTTCGTGTATTAGGAGCCGAAATACATACTGGTACATGATATTTTCCTGATACAAAATACGTTGAAGCGAAGACCTCACCTATTCTGTTCTCCTGGTAGGTAGTGGGAGAAAACAATATTTTTCGTGCAGGTACTTCGTGTGTTAGGAGCAGAAACACATCCTAGTACATGATATTCTCCTGATACAAAATACGTTAAAGCGAAGACCTCGCCTATTCTGTTCTCCTGGTAGGTAGTGGGAGAAAACAATATTTTTCGTACAGGTACTTCGTGTATTAGGAGCCGAAATACATACTGGTACATGATATTTTCCTGATACAAAATACGTTGAAGCGAAGACCTCACCTATTCTGTTCTCCTGGTAGGTAGTGGGAGAAAACAATATTTTTCGTGCAGGTACTTCGTGTGTTAGGAGCAGAAACACATCCTAGTACATGATATTCTCCTGATACAAAATACGTTAAAGCGAAGACCTCACCTATTCTGTTCTCCTGGTAGGTAGTGGGAGAAAACAATATTTTTCGTGCAGGTACTTCGTGTGTTAGGAGCAGAAACACATCCTAGTACATGATATTCTCCTGATACAAAATACGTTAAAGCGAAGACCTCGCCTATTCTGTTCTCCTGGTAGGTAGTGGGAGAAAACAATATTTTTCGTACAGGTACTTCGTGTGTTAGAAGCCGAAACACATCCTAGTACATGATATTCTCCTGATACAAAATACGTTAAAGCGAAGACCACACCTATTCTGTTCTCCTGGTAGGTCGTGGGAGAAAACAATATTTTTCGTACAGGCACTTCGTGTATTAGGGGCAGAAACAAAAACAAAGATGCAAAAGTACAACCGTTTAAGCAAAAATGAAGTGATGAGCATGGAAAAAGACGTGCTCATCTATTCCGCTACCCTGATACGGCTAATACTTAGCAAAAGAAAATTAAAAAAAAAATGCTAAACCTCCTCCTCGCGCATTATATTTCCCTGATTCACAGATGCAAAACTTTAAACGAAAACAAGGTGTTGGAACATGTTCCCCAGGCGTACAAAAAGATGTCATGTTCTGTTCTCCTGGTAATCAGAGAAAATTTACACACCAATATTCTTCCCCCATGTTTCGAAAGGAACTTTATCAATATTGTATTGTATTACAATTTGGAAAAGATATACGGTACTCATACCATGACTTTAGAAAAATTGGTACATGATAGATCTTATCTCATCTGGCTATTTATAGCAAACAGTCGAGATAGTATGCCCCTTTTCACGTAGAGAAAAACAATGAATTGTAATAAATCGGCGCTGGGAACAGGCGCGACTTATCTAAGCGGAAATTCGGTTCAAACAAAAAAGGTGCATTCACCAACCCGAATGGCATCCAAAATTATTAACATTGAAAACGTCGAATTTAGTATAGCCCAAAGAATAAATAGATCCATACTGGATTACGCTGGTAGAGCAAGAGTTTATTGTATTGTTTTGGCAAATGTATGACATCAGTTAGAACAAAGAGGTGTGTCCAATCCAAAACAAACACTACACACAGCTTATCTCAGTTAAATCACCATAGTAGCAAAATATTATTCTCAGTCAGCGCTATTGTTAACCTTAACCTTGAAAAAAGTACGTGCTATCAAATGTATTTTTCTGAAAACTCGCTGACGCAAATATTTCGAAATTCGCGGCAAGTCTCAAAGTCGAAGATAACCTTCCAACATTGCCAAACAATCGCGAGCTGAAGTAATCTCGATTTACATCACTTTTTTTTTAAAAAGCGAAAACGGCGTTAAAATCACCCAAGCACATTAAAGGTATTTTACCTAAAGATCATTGTCTTCGCCATCGCGGCTCACCACGAAAATTGGCACACTTTCACTCGGTGATATCAAGATCGATTTTTACGTTCACCAATCCGCAAAACATCTACGGTGCGCATTACGTCACACCATCGGAGCGCTTTGTGTTTTATATCTAACGATTGTGACGTAGCGATCGAATTTTTTTATCCCTACTACTTTAGCACACACCCACGGAGGCGACCAATCCCAATGGGTTGTATCGGAATGCAAATAAATTTATTGTCATCATTGATGAAATCCCCCACGCATACATTGTTTTCGAAAGACGTGCGTCAATTCCTTTGTTTGCGCAATTTTAGGGATGATTTTGAATTGTCAAGTTCAAGGGTGTTTTTCTCAAATCGCCAGCAAAACAAGATTCGGTACCAATCTTGATCTTGAAACTTCTCGAATATTTGCCAATCCTTCAGATTGATTTCGATATTTTCAGATGTAAACACTCGCCACGCGATTTCGACTTGAAGCTAAAAACAACACGGGGGGCAAATGACACCAGTGAAAGTACTAAAAATAACGCTTTGACGTTAAAATTTCATAACGTGCATATTTTTGTAAACAGAAGTTGCCGGTCTGCGCGAGGTCACAAGAGTAAACATGTTATTCAGAAACAACTGGAGTTCTGTGACATTTCCTAATCCTGGAGCAATAATAAAAATTACCCAGTAAATAGTCTTATAAACAATGGGGATACATTTGCATATTTAAGGTGCAGATACCAACAACCATATAAATATGCAAAAATATGCAGACCTGAAACCGTATAATAAAATATCGAAAGGTACAATTTAGGCGAATCCTTAAGTCATAATAAGACAATTTTGCAATGCAGCGATCTCAAGGCACCAAATGGCATATTTTTGCATATTTTTGCTGCTAAGTAGTCAATGTAATAGGGAACAAACAAAATCGATTGCACGATCGGAGAAAAAAAATAGAACAACAAAAGCAGTAAAAATTAAATATTGGTCCTTGTTTGAACCGAATCGAATTTCTTTTCGTTTTTTTACCCGTTAGAATATTTCAACAACACAAAAGTCAAACTACATTTAATGTGCTATCAAATACAGTACCGATAGTGAGTACAGGGTGTCCCATTTTCGACACTTCTATAGGGTCCGTAATTGTGTGTTATCAAAAAAGTAATATAGGCAGGTGTCATATGCTCTGGGTCAAACTTGTTAATTATTTTTAATGGAACATCCTGTATATTTTAATCTAAAAGGATAGCATATTATTAAATTGTAGTTTGAGTTGTTTTAAGTGTCGTTTGAGTACACTAAAAGGTGAAACAAAGCGAAAAGAATTTTGATTCGGTTCAAAAATGGACCAATATCTCGATAATCTCAGTCAGGTAAAAAAGTTGTCGGACCGAACCTCAATTTTTTTAATGGAACACCCTGTAAATATATTTTAATCTAAAAAATAGCATATTTTATTCTCTTTTCAAAAAGTTTAATATTGATTCAAAAAATCAAAATTCCTAAAAATTCAGAATAAGTCTCACACCTAATCTCGTACGAATATCTTCCCTGGACGCGCCCCCACTATCTTTAACGTCTCGATGCTCATCTGTTGTACCACTAGCGTTCATTTGCTTTTTTTAAGGAGGCAATTTGTCAGATTCCTCCAGGATAAAGTTCTCCTGCCCCGTATCTGAATTATCCGAATGATCAGGTACATTCCATTAATTTCTCTTATCTCGCGACTTCCGGTCGCCACCAAGCTTTCATACATGAATAAAAGTCAGGCCCGCATCCAGGAACTATTAACCCAAAAATTTTAAAAATCGAAAAAATTTAAATGTGTTGGCGAGTTCCCGTTACAATTATTGATTTTTTTTTTAAATAAATAGAATATCGATAGTGAGTACAGGGTGTCCCATTTTCGACACTTCTTAGGGTATCTCCGTAATTGTGTGTTATCAAAAAAGTAGGCAGGTGTCATATGCTCTGGGTCAAACTTGTTAATTTTTCTTAAATGGAACATCCTGTATATTTTAATGTAAAAGGATAGCATATTATGAAATTGTAGTTGTTTTAAGTGTTGAAGTATTCTAAAATGTGAAACAAAGCGAAAAGAAATTTGATTCGGTTCCGAGTTCGGTTCAAAAATGGACCAATATCTCGATAATCTGTCAGGTAAAAAAATTGTCGGACCTAACCTCAGTTTTTTAAATGGAACACCCTGTAAACATATTTTAATCTAAAAAATAGCATGTTATATTATCTTTTCAAACATTTTTTAATTTTAATTTTTTTAATTGTTGTTTGAATCACTTGAATATTTTTTGAATATCATCTCTGCTGTGTTATATTTTTGAAAAGAGAATTTAATATGCTATTATTTAGACACAACAGAAATGATAATCAAAAAAGGTTCAAGTGATTCAAATAAAATCGAAAAAAATTCAAAAAGATTAAAAAAGTATTTAAAAAAGATTCCAACGATTTAAAAGCATGGCATATTAAATGTAGTTATGGTTGTTTTAAGTGTCGTTGGAATATTCTAAAAGGTGAAACAAAGCGAAAAGAAATTTGATTCGGTTCAAAAATGGACCAATATTTCGATAATTTCAGGCAGGTAAAAAAGTTGTCGGACCTAACCTCAGTTTTTTAAATGGAACGCCCTGTAAATATATTTTAATCTAAAAAATAGCATATTGTATTATCTTTTCAAAAATATTTTAACTTTTTGAAAATCATTCGTACCTTTTTTTAAATTTTTAAAATACTTTTTAATCTTTTTAAATTTTTTTTAAGTTGTTTGAATCACGAATATTTTTTGAATATCATCTCTGCTGTGTTATATTTTTGAAAACAGAATTTAATATGCTATTTTTCAGACTCCAGAAATTATAATCAAAAAAGGTTCAAGTGATTCAAATAAAATCGAAAAAAAGTATTTAAAAAAGATTCCAACGATTTAAAAGGATGGCATATTAAATGTAGTTTCGGTTGTTTTAAGTGTCGTTGGAATATTCTAAAAGGTAAAACAAAGCGAAAAAAAATTTGATTCGGTTCAAAAATTGACCAATATCTCGATAATCTCAAACTTGTAGGTTAAGTAATAAAGTTTTGAACCATTTTTATACTCGTCGTCTGCTAGTTCTGTAGAATAAACCTATTGTTCGACTTGTTACAATGGATTGTTCCTGTCAATTTCCGTTTAAAGTAATCCATTTTTTTTTCAATATTAATCTCAATGTCATTTAGGGACCTCATCAACATTCAGTTAATTTCGTGGTTCAGGGTCGATTTTAGTAAAAAAAAACAAACATTCCAATTTTTTGATAAACATTTTTTATCGTTTAGAAACGAAGAGTTCAAAAATGCCACCTGCAAGTGCCCATTTTGCTATCAATTTATTTGTAAAGGTAGTTCTAGGTACAGCTCAAAAAACGAACAATTCACAATTTTTTTCTTCGGTTTTTGTTTGGAAATTTTAACGATTTCGACTTTTTACATAGGCTTTTAATGAGTTCTTTACG